AGTGAGGGAAGAAGGAGCCATGGGAACTGTGTAGAAGGGGGCCCAGCCTCAGCTCAGCTTCAGGTCAGTGTTCTCAGAGTGCAATGCTCCCAGACTCAGGCTTTCCAAAAGTCTGAGAAACGTTATTATTATTGTTTTTTGAGACACGGTCTGGCTCTGTCACCCAAGCTGGAGTGCAGTGGCACAATCACAGTTCACTACAGCCTTGACCTTCAGGGCTCAAGTGACCCTCCCACCTCAGCCTCTTGAGTAGCTTTGACTACAGGGCACATGCCACTACGCCTAACTAATCTTTTAATTTTTTGTAGAGACAGGTCTTTATCATGTTGCCCAGGCTGGTCTTGAACGCTTGGCCTCAAGCAATCCTCCAGCCTCAGCCTCCCAAAGTTCTGCGATTACAGGTGTGAGCCACCATGCCTGGCTTAGAAATATTTTATAAATGTAAAATTTCCTGACATTTCAATGCTGGCAACCAATACGATTTTTTTTTAAAAATCACTGCACCAAACAAAATAAGTCTGCAGGCCAGACTGCACCCATGGACTGCCAGCTTTGATCTCCAAATTCTCGGCCGATAATGATACTACTTTATAATCTCTTAAACTCTTCCTTCTTTCTAGGCACCACTCCCTTATATCATTCCTAATCCTGTATTTTCACCACTGAATACATTCCAGTTTGTATTCAGAGTATACAATATCTTGCCAGTAGACAATTCATTTTCAGATTTATTCTTTACTATTTCCCCTCTTTTTCCTTAGAAAATTTATTTTCTTGCTGTCCATAAACAAATGCATGATCCACAACTATACCTTATGTGCTAATTATTTTTATTCATTTTTATAACAAGGTTAGGACACAGAGGGGAACGGTGTTCAGTGACAGAACACATACCTGAATTTTAGGCTAACCACGAATGTGATCAGCTTTTCAATACATTTTAAATATTTAGGGGCATTTACTGACTAACGTATGGTGTGTAACAGTTTCATTCCACCTTATACTTAAGCATTATCATTACTGCAATCTACTTTATTCCCACAGATTTATTTCTATAAGCCAATTCATATTTTGCTATTATGTTACATTTAAATAAAAGTCAGGTTCATAGGACTAAACTCATGCACATCAGTCAGTGACCTGAAGATTCATGAGCGTAGCTTTGCACCTACCTTGGTGTGATCACAGAGTATAATTAGAGTGATACAGGTTACTGTTTGCTGAATGCATATAACATGTTTCATGTGTTAATTTAATTATCAAAAGTCCCCTCCTTTATCAAATGAGGGAAATAAGACTCAGGAAGGTCAAATAACAACCACCACCACCACCACCACCATTTTTCTGTGATTCACACAGCTAATCAGCGAAGGGCTGGGATTTTAACTCAGTTCTACTGGACTTTGGAGCCCACGTTTGTTTCCAAACCTGCCCACATAATTTGAAGATAATAATGGCTGTTCTCACAGATGTTTTTCTCTGCCTCACTGATGTTTAAAGCACTGCAGATTTTTCTTTTGGTTCATAAGTTGACATCAATAGGATCCTATTTTTATGTATATATTAACCACAAACAAAAATTTCTCATCTTTTCCACAGAGTACCAAAGTCTCTGGAATATATATCTCCCTTCTTAAATTGAGAAATATGCTTAAATATTAAATATTTTTTAAAATATCTATATCTGATATTTGATTTTCAGTTTACTTCTGATTTTATTCCTCTGCAAAGCAGATTTCCTGCAGCTCATTCTTTCCTGCCAATGTGGGTTCTGCCCCTGGCCCTCTACTAGGCTGCCCCCTAGAGGCTCTCTCTGCAGCTACTACCATTCCTTTCTTCCTGAAACCCCTTCTTTGGCTTGGGTGGTATCTCTCTTTCCTAGTGAGTGTGCTCCCACACCTCCTTCTCAGACTTCAGTTTCTCAATCTCTCCCTTACCTACTGATGTTTCTCTGAATTCTGTCTTCAGTTCTCCTCCATTCACACTAGGAACACTTGCTTTCAGTCAAATCTAGTTTTAACTACGTCTATAAGCTGGCGATACTCAGCAATCTCCCCTGAGCTCCAGATCCATACATGTATTTGCTTCCTGAACATCTCCCAAAGACAATCTAAAATCTACAGTACAAAACTGTCTCCCAAACCTGCTTCTACTCCCCTATTCTCAATCTTGCTGAATAGCATTCTTTCTATTCAGTTCTGCAGGCTAGAAACAAGAAAAGCTTGGCCTTTTCTTCTTCCATGGTCACAATTTTTTTTTGCTATGTATGTGTATAGCAAGTTTCTCTACAGTGAAATAACAGAAGACATTTCAGTTGCACTCACCTTGAATGTTGCTGTCCAGCAGCAGCAGCAGCAGTTTCTGTGGTAGGTACTCCTTTGCGGCTTACCTTAAAGTCTTTTTCAGTCAGAGTCCTCATTAGGAAATGAAATTCAATGGATTCTACATACACTACTAACACTTCCCTCAATAATGATCAGTGACAAACTACTGTAAAAGCCTGAACAACCAGCAGATGGGAACAATACAGAAGGAACCAGTTATTTTAATCTATGTAACCAAGCGTTAATACATGAGGGACAAAGTGGTCTCATTCTAAAGCTTTTTTTTCCTCCTAAAATACATAAAATTTATAAATATGTAAATCACTTCTGTCAATGAAAGCCTGGCTAGACCTGGGTCTTCTGTCCCCCACCCGACCTGTAACCAGCAATACACTCCTCTCCATAAACTTTTTGAGGGTACTAGACCTGCCACATGTGATTAAATAAATGTTTGCCCAACAGTGGGCACAGAAAGTTAGTGTGTGCTTAGTAGTTTAGGATAACTTCTTACTTTAGTATAACTGCTAGTTAGTTTGAAAGTGGGCTCACTTTGGTGATAAGACTCAAGATTTTTTATTGAGGAAAAGGAATTGCAGAAAATCTGGGTCTGGCAGTGCTCTATTTGGTAATGAACACCTGCTGTTCCTAAAGAATCACTTAGGTCATTCGTTCTCATTCTGTAATTTTCCAGATGAAGAAACTGAGGCCTGCAAAGCTAAGAAACTAGCCCAAGTTCACACAGCTCAAAAGTACAAAGCCAGAAGAAGGGCCTTGGTCTCAAAGTGACTAGGCAGGCCAGCGCTCTCCACTAGAAAACGATGCTTGCATGAAACTACTGCTTCTAAAGAGCACACAAAGTTTTTGGCCAGGGAAATGTGAATAAACACTGAGATGAGCATATTTTAGAACATTGTTTCAGTATTACTGACTGATTAATTCTTCAGTAGAAGATGAATACCCATAGCTATTACATTAATAACTTGAGTTTAAGAGTTTCTCATTTCCCTAGGGGTTTCTTTCTTTATGAACTCTTTGTCTGTCATCCATCTTATTTAATCATTTTAAGGCTACTTTTAAAATAATCATGTTTGGCACATATATTTTTATCATAGTATTAATTCTTTTCTACTAACCCTCAATGAACGTGGTCGAATTTGGTAAAGCACTGCAATGCCAAATCAGTACATTTGGTTAGGGGAAGCTGCCAGAGATCCTTGCTGCTAAGGTAAAGTTTATAATTGCTCCTAGGAAATCCTTCACTTCATATGATCCTAGTCTTTTTCTTTATATTCTTTCTCACTCAGAGAATCAAACGTGCAAAGAATTCAACTACACAAAATTCACAGGAAGTTTATCATCAAAATCCTTCTTAATAAAACTAAGTATAAGAAACCTCTCGGCCGGGCACGGTGGCTCAAGCCTGTAATCCCAGCACTTTGGGAGGCCGAGGCGGGTGGATCACAAGGTCAAGAGATTGAGATCATCCTGGTCAACATGGTGAAACCCCGTCTCTACTAAAAATACAAAAAATTTGCTGGGCATGGTGGCACGTGCCTGTAATCCGAGCTACTCAGGAGGTTGAGGCAGGAGAATTGCCTGAACCCAGGAGGCGGAGGTTGCAGTGAGCCGAGATCGCGCCATTGCACTCCAGCCTGGGTAACAAGAGTGAAACTCCATCTCAAAAAAAAAAAAAAAAAAAAAAAAAAAAAGAAACCTCTCATGTCCAGGATATGAAAGAGATTATGAAAGGATATCAGTAGATAAAAGAGCCACAAATAAACAACAGTCAAACAAATTAGCTGCATTATGTACATGGAAACTTTTAAGGGACAATCGAAATTACTCAAGTGGAAATCTAGCCTCTCTAAAATTCAGTATCTAATACTAGACAGTTTATCTTTTCACAAAGAATTTCTGACTATATACATTTAATTTTTTATTTTACTTGAAATATTCTGACAAGCAACAGACAAACTGAAATTACAGAACAGTCAATGAATACATTGAGAGCATATAACACATACCAGAAATGAAGGCTCTGATAAAGTACAGTTAAAGCTTGGAAATGATAGGAGTTTAGAAATTAAAAATTACAGAAGACAAGAGACATTAAAGCTGTCATAACTTTTCAAGAGTAAAGAAAACAAATGTATAGAAAACTAAATTAGTTTTAAAGTGTAATTTTTCTTCCCTAAAAAGTTTCTTACACGAATAACAGTAAGGATAGAGTAAATCTGTCAATAGGAAAATTAGAAGAGACTGCAGTTATCACATCGTCTCATCCATTTTACAGATGAGGAAACTGAGGCCCAATGAGTAGCTCTGCCTGGACCAAAAATACTTCAAGTTTTACATATTTCCAGATTATACATTTAAATTAATCACCATTAGATATATTACCATCTGCCCAGACAGTAACTAAAAGAGATCACATTATTGGGATCTAAGATCTGAACACAGCTGTCACTTTGTAGATTTTTGCAAAAAGAATACATAAAAGGTAAAAGACAACACTACTTCTTTAAAATATGAGTGCCTCAACTGAGTTTTACAATACTATCCATTATTAGAAAATTATTCTATCCAGTAGGTAAACTGTAATCACAAACTTAAAAAAAAGTGCTAACATATTTATAAGAAATTAGAAGTTTCTATAGCCCTTAAGGATCTGTGCCATTTAAAAACGGAATGATTTCTGTACACAAACAAAACACTCTTACAGTATGTTACTATTGTTAAAGCTGCCTTTAATAAACATAGAATGTTAATACTCTGATATGACCTTTCAATATTTTCTAGTTATAGTTTTATAATTTGGGGGGAATACACCAAAATATTAGTTTGAGAGGCCAAAATTGACCGGTGCCTTCTATTGTCTTTGACTCCTTAACACAACCGCATCAGTTGCTTTTTTTTTACTACACATCAAATTATGACATAAAATCAGTTTAGTAACATGTAATGAGTGCCTGTTATGTGCAAGGCATTTAAATTGTTTGGCTGGCCATAATCAGGTCAAATTTAAGACCTGTTATTTCAATTCCAAATAATGTGGTAATACATTATTCCAGAACTTTTTGGAACCTGGCGGCCCGTTATCTAAAAGTTGTTTTGACCGCACTGGCATTTTGGTCCTTGGCTCTTTCCCCTTTCCCTGTGTGTTAGTAATTGACTTTTTTTCATATGTTTTATGTTTGCCATATTTCACAGATCCTTTTATTTTGCTCACTTTTTTGTACCCTTCTCCTTCAACCCGCCTTTCATTCTCTTCTTCACCTGTCTCCTGGTAGTTCCCCTCCTCTTCCTCCTCCTCTTCTCTGTTCCTCCTGTTTTCTTCTTGTTCCCCCTCCTTTTCCCTTTCTTCCCCTTCCTCTTCTCCTTCCTCTTCCTCTCCTTCCTCCTCTTCCTCCCCTTCTTCCTCCTCCTCTCCTTCTTCCTCCCCCTCTCCTTCTTCCCCCTCTTCCTCTTCCCCCTCTCCTTCCTCTCCTCCCTCCTCTTCCCCTTCTCCTTCCTCCCCTCCTTCTCTTTCCTCCTCCTCCCCCTCCACTTCCCCTTCTCCTTCCTCCCCTTCCTCCTCTTCCCCCTCTGCTTCCCCTTCTTCTTCCTCCCCTTCCTCCTCCCCTTCCCCTTCTCCTTCCTCCCCTTCTTCCTCCCCTTCCCCTTCTCCTTCCTCCCCTTCCTCCTCCCTTTCTCCTTCATCCCCTTCCTCCTCACCTTCCCCTTCTCCTTCCTCTTCATCCTCCCCTTTCCCTTCTTCCTCCCCTTCCTCACCTTCCTCACCTTTATCCTCCCCTTCTCCTTCCTCCCCTTCCTCCTCCCTTTCTCCTTCCTCCCCTTCCTCTTCACCTTCCCCTTCTCCTTCCTTCCCTTCATCCTCCCCTTCCCCTTCCTCCTCTTCCTCCTCCCCTTCTCCTTCCTCCTCTTCCCCCTCCCCTTCTCCTTCCTCCTCTTCCCTCTCCCCTTCTCCTTCCTCCTCTTCCCTCTCCCCTTCTCCTTCCTCCTCTTCCCTCTCCCCTTCTCCTTCCTCCTCTTCCCTCTCCCCTTCTCCTTCCTCCTCTCCCCCTTCTTCCTCTTCCCCCTCTCCGTCCCCCTCCTCTACTTTCCCTCCCTCCTCTTTTATCTCCCTTCTCCCCTCTGTTTCCTCCTCTTCCCCCTCTCCTTGGTCTCCTTCCTCCTTTCCTTTCTCCTCCTTCCCCCCTCTTTCCTCCTTTCCCCTTTCTCCTTCCTCCTCCTCTCCTTCTTTCTTTTCACCTTCTCCCTCCACTTCTTCCTCTTCTCCTTCCTCTTTCCCTTCTGCCTCCTCCTCCTTCTCTTCTTCTTCCTCCTCTTCTCTGTCTCCCTCCTCTTCTTCTCCTTCTTCATGCTCCTCCTCTCCTCCCTCCTCCCCTTCTCCCTCTTCCATCTCTTGGTTTCCTTCCTCCTGATGGCCTTGCTCCCTTTCCTTTTGTTTCTGCTCCTCCCTATCCCTCTTTTCCCATTCCTCTTTCTCTGCTAGGTCCTTCTCTCCCTCTCCTGGCTTCTCTATTTCTCCCCTACCCTTGTCTTTCTCCCCCTTCTCCGCCCTCTCCTCACCTTGCCAGTGTTCTGTTCCTGAACTTTCCTCCTCACAGGTTCCATCCCCTCTACCTTCAGGCCCATCCTCTGCCTCTCCCCCTGACTTGCTTTCACTCACCTCTGCTTTGTCTGTAAGGTCATCTGATAGGATCTCTGTTTCCTCCTTTCTTCCTCCACGCACCTTAACATTTTCCTCATTTGCTTCTACCTCTTGCTCCTCTCTTCCATTTCCTTTTGAATCCTCTCCTCCTTCCTCCTCCTCTGGGATCTCTGACAAGTGATCACACTTAAAATCATACTTTGCCATGGATTTGGATATTATGGGTTTAGTCTCTTTTTCATTTCCTTGGTCAATCAATTTCCCGCTATACCATATGTTTTGGTCAGTTTCCACTTCATCATCATCTTTCTCTCACTACTAAATTCTACTGCCTCAGGCTGCTGGGATCTATCAGCTATACCCTGCTGACTCTCACTTGCACCTTCCATGTAACTGTCTGGCTTTTCTACTGATTCTCTTTCACTGTCACAGATGACATCTTGCTTGCTACTTTCTCTTCTTAACAAAATCTTTATTTTCTTCACTCTCGGTATTCATACCTCTATCTGGTAAGTTGCCAAAGAAAGTACTGATACTTTTTGTGCTCTTTTCCCTTTTTCTTAAATCCCTCATATCTGCTATTTCTGCCAGTTTAGTTCCCTTCTCAGAGACTATTTCTTCTGCTTCTAAATCCTTCTGACTGTGTCCTCCATCAGTTTCCTTTTCTATTTCCTTATTATCAAACTGATCAACACCACTTCTATTTTCATGTCTAAATACCTCTTTTTGCAAACCCTCTCCATCAGTGTCAGTCTGAGGTCCCACCTGGCCTGAGTCATTACCTGCTTCCTCATCTGAAAATGCTTCCATAATCGTAGGTGGTTGCGTCATGAAAATCCCTTGTGACACACGTTGTTTACATGCTTTCCCTTCTTTCATTTCTGACATCTCTTTACATTCATCACTATTATCGTTTTCAGGAAGAGCCGTACACTGTGGCAGATTTCCAATTGTTTGCTGTTTCTGTAAATTTTTTGAAGTAATCATTATGTTATACTACTATTAGTTGACAAAGACAACTTATCTACCTTAAATACTGCCAAGATTTTACATTTTTATAAGTTTAACTAGGAGAATAAAAATACCAAGTTTTACCAGATATTTTGCTGAAGTTTCATTTTCCTTAAGGATCATTTGTGCCACTCACTAGTCTATGATACATCTAATTTTGATTTAGTAACACGTATCTGTGTTTAATTTTCAACTCTTACTACCTGTCTTAATTTTGCCATTATTCACAATACCATCAATATTTATTCTCTGCCTCTTTTCTCATTCTGAATCAATCCTTACATAAAACCCACTTCCAGATTGATTTTACAAGATGCTATTTAAAAATGTACACTTCTTGGCCTGGCACAGTGGCTCAAGCCTGTAATTCTAATACTTTTAAGAGGCCAAGACGAGTGGATCACCTGATGTCGGGAGTTCAAGATCATCCTGGCCAACATGGTGAAAACCCGTCTCTACTAAAAATACAAAAATCAGCTGGGTGTGGTGGCGAATGCCTGTAATCCCAGCTACTTGGGAGGCTGAGGCAGGAGAAGTGCTTGAACCCAGGAGGCAGAGGTTGCAGTCAGCCGAGATTATGTCACTGCACTCCAGTCTGGGCAACAAGAGCAAAACTCCATCTCAACGAAAAAAATGTACACTTTTCTTGTACACAGTGTAGCTTAGTATATTTTTCCCACCTTCCTGATCATTTTCAATATTTTTTTCTTGAACAGACTTTCATTCTGTTACCTAGTTGGGAGCACAGTGGCATGATCTCAGTTCACTACAGCCTCTGCCTCCCAGGTTCCAGCAATTCTCTCACCTCAGCCTCCTGAGTAGCTGGGACTATGGGTATGTGTCATCACACCCAACTAATTATAATTTTATAGAGTAGAGATGAGGTTTTACCATGATGGCCAGGCTGGTCTTAAACTCCTGATCTCAAGTGATCTGCCCTTCTTGGCCAACCAAAGTGCTGGGATTACAAGTGTGAGCCAGCACACCTGGCCTAATATTCAAATTTTGGTTTGTCTTTTAAGTCCACAAAATTCACAAAATAAATAAAAATGTAAAATTTGAAAAAAATGAATACTTCACTCGTAAAACTAAAAAAACTGCACATGAAATGTTTTTTATCTATAAACTAAATAATAATGAATATAGTTTTCTTTTCTAAACTAAATTTTCATGAGTTTTCAAATTTGTTACCTTCCTTGTATCCATTATAATAATTTATATACATGAAAGAACACTAAGAGGAAAGAATATTAAGTGTAAAATATAAGATTTGTATAAAAACTATGAAATCAAACACTGACATTTGAATAAAATGCATTAACAATATAAAATTATTTCCTGCTGGACAAAATAAGGCAAAACCAAACTGTTGATCTAAATTCTACAAACAAGTTAATAGATGCACATATCTGATGATTTTGGGTCTCTGGATAGTAAAACCTCACTAACTCAAATCTTTAAATTGTGACGAGTTAGGCCTAGGAAGAGGTTTCTATTGTGCCAAAGAAATTACTAAAACAGGACAAGTTAAAAATTAACAAGCTAATACATAGAAACAGAATAATAAATCTTTTCTCATTTATTAAAGTAGGCCTGATAGGGCCTAAACTTAAAAGGACTACAGAAAGTATAAAACATGCCTGTAATCCCAACACTTTGGGAGGCCGAGGTGGGCAGATCACGAGGTCAGGAGTTCAAGACCAGCCTGGCCAACATAGTGAAACCCTGTCTCTGCTAAAATACAATTTGCTGGATGTGGTAGCAGGCAGCTGTTATCCCAGCTACTCCAGAGGCTGAGGCAGGAGAATCACTTGAACACTTGAACACCGGAGGCGGAGGTTGCAGTGAGCTGAGATCATACCATTGTACTCCAGCCAGGGCGACAGTGCAAGACTCCGTCTCAAAAAAAAAAAAAAAAAAAAAGTATAAAATATATATCAGGTTAAAAGGAATTGCTTTCCATTTCTGTTTGTTCTAGGTCTTGCTCTTTAAAAAATCCTGATTCTTTTAAGAACCCTAAGAGAGCCAGGCCCAGTTGCCAGAACGGATTTCTAAAGGCACATACCTTTCTTTCCCTAGCACAATAAAGCAGCCCAGAAGAGGGAGAGCCTGGAGTCTAAGAGAAGTGGAATGAAAGGCACAAGAGAGATGTCTGCTTGGAAGTATAATCAGTCAAAAATCAGTCAATATTTATTGAGCTTCTACAACTGTGTTCGAACAGCTCTCCCATAACCAAAGAAATGCTGTTATTCACCAAAGGACTAGCTCTAAATTTTTATAATTTAGCATGAATTCTCTTGCATTTCAGAGACTTCAATTTTAAGAGTTTTAAACTTGAAAACATGTCAAAGACACTAGAAACAGAAATTAAATATTTTCTGTGGTCTTCTTCCCTCAATTACATTTCTCCAATTTATCTTCCTAATCCTCAAATCCCTCATTGATTCATCCCACTAGTCCTTAAAGCCAGGTAAAGCAAAAGATTTCATGGCAGGTCTTAATCTCTCTAGCAGTGTGAAAACCACAGCCTATTCCCTTCTTTTGCCATTTGTTATTCATTAAAGGTCTCTCTTTCCCACCCATGAACAGTCTGATTTCCAAATGTTTAATCTCATTATTATGCTATCAATTCCTTGATAAATTAAAGCCCAACCAAATATTGGAAAAGGTTATCAAAGATTTTCACTAAAATCACAAAATTTTAAAGCTAAAAAAGTTATTAAAACCATTCCGTAAAGTCAGCATAATAATACATTCAAAGTCATACTCAACCAAAATCAGAGAGCCACTCTGTCAATAAATGGTAGTCTTTTCTTATACATAAGACTGCAATCATAATCTATGGCTTGATAGAAGGAAAAGTATGGCTATTATAACTTGGTAGTGATCCCAAAGAGCAAATTTCAGCAATAAAATGCTTTCTCACTTGTTTCTTTACAGAAAATACATACCATCAGAACAAACCAAAATGGAGGTTATCTACATTGTATTCCTCTGTCTTTTAAATTCTAATGTAAGTAAATGCTTACGTTTCTTGTGTTTTTTTCCAAAAACCATCCAAAAAAAAAAAAAATAAACTGCTCTTACCAACAATAATGAAAATAAATCTCCATATTATACCTTTTGCTTTGGAAGTGGTGTCAATTTTAATGACTTTTCATTGGAATTCTGGCTCATCATGTGTGTCTGAAATAAATAAAAAATATATATTATAAAAATAATACAGTATATATGCATTTGTACATTGTGTGTGTGTGTGTGTGTGTGTGTGTGTGTGTGTGTGTATTACTATCTGAATTTTCCTATATATATATAGGAAACTTGCATATATATGTATGTGTACATATATATATATATATGTGTGTGTATATATATATGTGTGTATGTGTGTGTGTGTATATATATATATATATATATATATATATATATATGAAAACAGTTCAGATAGTAATAGAATCCACTCTCAATTGCCATACTAATAATGTGAGGATCAAAACAAATTTCATTGGCCAGGTGTGGTGGCTCACGCCTATAATCCTAGCACTTTGGGAGGCTGAGGCGGGTGTATCACCTGAGGTCAGGAGTTCGAGACCAGCCTGACCAACATGGAGAAACCCCACCTCTAGTAGAAACAAAAATTTAACCCGGTGTGATGGCACATGCCTGTAATGCTAGCGACTCGGGAGGTAAGGCAGGAGAATCACTTGAACCCGGGAGGCAGAGACTGCAGTGAGCCAAGATCATGCCATTGCACTCCAAGATGGGAGATAAGAGCAAAACTCCATCTCAAAAAAAGAAAACAAATTTTATTGTATTGTATGTGAATTATACCTCAACATAACAAAATAAAGTAAAAACAACAAAGTAGCTTTCATGCATATAAGAGTATAGGAGGCGTACACACATTCACATACATGATGAACTGAAATTCAAACTCATTTATATAGACAAATAGGAAATCATTACCATGTTTAAGATATCAGTAGTTTCTCCAAGGTTTCCTATAGTTGAAAAATTATCTATCTCTGCTTCTTTGGTCATTTCATCTTGAAAATTATCTGAATGGTAAAAGAGAAAAAGGAAATCCAGATTTCAACAGAAAAGTGAAAGACGACTGGACAGAAACAGAAATTATTCTATAATATAAAGTGAAGGTATAATTTTACTAAAAGTCCTTTAACCTCATGTCAGGGAAATTAAAAAGAATTCATTCACAGTAATACAGGTTTTTAAATTTCTTTGTGAAAGTTTAAAAATGTTGACACCAATTAGATTACAATTGTTTCATTCATATGAACAGGCAAACACTATTCCTTTGGGATAAAGAACTACCCAGGTATGGAGCACTGTAACAGTTAGTCCTAAGAAGGGCCTCAATGACCTACATCCTCCTGGTGTTCATACTCTTGTGTAGTTCTCTTGCACATTATACCAGGTTGGTCCTATGTGCAGCCAGTAAAATAAAGCAGACGTAATTGTGATAGCATTATAGCTTCTGTTTTGGTTATACACATGTGCATACTTGCACTCGCTCTCACTCTCTTCCCACCTTGGCTACACACATGTGTACTCTCTCTCTTTCTCTCTAATCACTTGCTCTGTAGGAGTCCATGTTGTAAGCATCTCAAGGAAGTGAGGCCTCCTGCCAATGGCCACATGAATGAGCTTGGAAGTGTATCTTCCAGCCTCAGTCAAGCCTTCCGATAACTGCAGCTCCATCTGATGGTGTGGCTGCAACCCTATGAAAGAACCTGGGTCAGAACCACCCAGCTAAGCTGCTGCTGAAGTCCTGATTCTCAGAAACTGTGTGAAATAATACATGCTTGTCTTAATCTGCTAAGTCTTAGGGTGATTTTTAAAATGTAGTAACAGATAACTAGTATAACCTAGAACTTTTCACAGAAAATTGCAAGGTTATTACATCATAAAGTAGATAATTAAATGTCATAAGCTCTACTTTGCAATTTTCTCAATTCTCACTATGCCCTCAGTAATCACCAATACATTTGGAAGTAGCTCCTTAATGAAGTCTTCACTAAAAGGTGACAGTCCACACTGATCCCTTCCCTTTAAATCCACTGAATTGAATGAGCAAATAATCATTTGGTATTTATTCCATGTGTGGTAATATGCAGAATAGCAACCTAAGTAATTGCAAATTCTTTTTTTTAACTGTCTATGTTTAAGGTATACAACAGATGTTTTGATATACATATAACTGTAAGTTCATTAAGAATTAGCAATTACAATTTTGTTATTGTTTGTTGTTAAAAAATTGTAATTGCTATTTCTTAATGAAGTTATAGTCTATAAGGGAATATAAAACATACGATATAGGGGGACGAGAAATTACATCCGTACATTGGGAATCAGTAAAGGTTTCAGTAAGGAGGTACAGAGAAGGATGACTAGAACTCTAAGAGGCAGAGATGGAGGTATAAGGGGAAGACAATGAAGCCCATTCCTAATAAAGCAGCAGAATAGCAGTCTCAGCAAATGAGCAGAGGAAAGAAGCTTGTCTTGAAGGCTTACCAAGTGCCAGAAACAAGCTTTTATATATGTTACACTAACCCTATGACAACAAGGAAGGTTAAGTATTATATCCTTATTTTATAAATGAAGAAATTAAGTTTCAGTGACTATTGGTGTCCAGTGTCAATCTCAGGTCTGTCTGACTCCACAGCCCTTGTTCTTTCCACTAAGTTAGACTGACTAGAACAGTCTCATCAACATTAAGGGTCAGCAAACTTTTTCTCTAAAAGGCCATACAGTAAACAGTTTAGGCTTCCCAGGCCATACGGTCTCTGTCCTAACTAACCTATGACATTGTAGCAGAAAGCAGTCACAGACAATACATAAATGAATGGGTATGGCTGGGTTCCAATAAAACTTTATTTATAAAAACAGGTGCCCAGCTAGATTTGGCCCATGAGCCATTGTCTGTAGACTACTGATCTAAATAAAGATTGTAAGGAAAAGTCTATTGAGAGATAAACTTAGAAAAACAGTTGGGAATCATATGGGAAAATTAACACTTATTTTCATAAATATCAGAAATTCACCGAATACACTGGAGCTGATGGAAACCGAATTGCATCTGAGGAAGATCACTGTGGAAAGTGTTACGCAGGATAGATTGGAGAGGGCAGAGAATATAGGTTTGGAAAATACATAGCAGATTATTTAAGCTGATGACTTTGCCTCAGACTTGACTGAGAAAACAGAAGTCATCATATCTGATCCACTTGATCTTCTCACCAACAAATATACACAAGTACCTCTATTTGCACTCAAGTTCTCACTTGCCTGTTAAAATGGGTGTATTTTTCCTGTTACCAAAGACCGCTCTCTATGTCAGCCCCTCCTGTTTTCCAAGAGCTTTCCAACTTTGGTTATACTTTCTCTCTTCTGTGCTATCTCTCCAGGACTACTGACTCATTCATTAGCATACAAGTGTGCACCAATATTTCCCACTGAGCCTACATCCCCCTCTAGCTGCCAGTCCATTTCTCTGCTCCACTTCATCAGCAAATATACAAAGAAATTATCTGTTCATCTTATCTCCTCTTCACTCCCTCATTCCCTATTCATAACTCAACTCTTAACACTCTGGCTTCTTCCTTGATCCCCTAGAACTGCTCTTGTCCAGGTCACCAGTAAACTCCATTATACCAAATCCATTGGATACTACTCTGAATTACTTTCCCTTGACCTTTGAGCAGTATTTTGCATTCGCGACATTACACTATCCTAATTTCCCACCTCCTGCCTTACTGGCCGACAAAGCTGAGGAAGGCTTCTTTTCTGGCTCTTCTTTCTCTACCCCTCAAATGTTAGCTATTCTTAGGGCTACATTCTGTGCCTTCTCTTCTGACTCTATTATCTAACAGGTGATTTCACCAACTTCCAGGGATTTTATTACTATTATTATTTTAAATAGAGAGTGGGTCTTGCTGTGTTACCCAGGCTGGTCTCAAATTCCTGGCTTCAAGCAATCCTCCTACCTCAGGTTCTCAAAATGTTGGGATTATAGGCATAAGTTACTATGCCCGGCCAATTTTAAATCCCATCTCTATGTTGATGGCTTCCAAATTTATATTTCTAGTCCAGGGCTCTCTTCTAAACTTTAGGCTTGTTTTTCGACAATCAGCTTGGTACTTCTGCTTGTCTCACAGATATATCAGGCTCAGTTCTTAAATTTCTTCCTCAAAATGTATCAACATTCCTCCTGTTTAGGAATCATCTTGGATTCCTCACTTTACTTCACACCTATTTGTAGTACATTAGTAAGTTTAGCAAGTCCGGTTGGTTTTTATGTCTATAATGTATTTCACATATTCCCTCTTCTCTTTTCTCCATTTCCACTGCAAACACCTTGGTCCATACACTATCATCTCTTGCAAAGGACTCACAAGTATTCTTCCTATTTCTAGTCTGGCCTCTGTATAAATCTATATGGAGGTAGAAGTGATCATAATCATCTTAAAGTGGAAATAGGATTGAAACACATCAGCCTACTGCTTAAAATCTTTTAATGGCTTTCTATTGCACTTAAGAAAAACATTCAAGTAGGTCTCTCATGGCCTGTAAAACCATAAATAATTTTTCACTGTCTCTTTCTCCAATACTATTTTGTCTTATCCTTTTCCTCACTTTCTAGCCCCATTGGTTGTCTTTTCTTAACTGCCTCCAAACCTTTGCCTATATTAGTTTCTTTGCCTTAAATACATAGTCATCTCTTTCTTATCCTTGAGCTTAAATGACATCTTAGTAAGACATATCCTGATCCACTTTCCTCCATTATAAAGACTGACGTCTGTGAAAGATTTAGAAAAAGTCACAGTATGTGTTAGTTACAACTTTCAAAATACATTTCATTAAGAGAATGTTAGCAGTCACAAAAAGACAAGAGATGGCATTTCCTTTTGATCTAGCTACAAAATTATGCGTATGCTCACATTCAAATCTCTGGGACTGAGAAACAATTTTCCCTAAACATAAATGTCTTTTTTCCCTTATACACAATACAAACTGCTTGTCAGAATCTACTATCTTTTCCATGTCCAGGTCTGAAGAGTACCATTAAACACTGATTCTTATTTCAAAAGAAAACATATAAAAGTTGTGGGTCAGGCATAAGAAATCAGCTCATTACCAAGATCCTAGTTATATATAATATCCCATTCCCATGACCCACCATTCTTACCTAAGTTCCCAATCCTTTATTACCTCAACCCTTTGCCTATGTTCCTGATCTCAAAGATATACAAATTATCTGTTCCTAGTCCCTCATTCTTAGTCCCTGATGCCAGGTTTATCTTCTTAATTTCTTTTTTTTTTTTTTTTTTTTTTTGTGACGGAGTTTCGCTCTTGTTACCCAGGCTGGAGTGCAATGGCGCGATCTCGGCTCACCGCAACCTCCGCCTCCTGGGCTCAGGCAATTCTCCTGCCTCAGCCTCCTAAGTAGCTGGGATTACAGGCATGCACCACCACGCCCAGCTAGTTTTTTGTATTTTTAGTAGAGACGGGGTTTCACCATGTTGACCAGGATGGTCTCGATCTTTCAACCTCGTGATCCACCCGCCTCGGCCTCCCAAAGTGCTGGGATTACAGGCTTGAGCCACCGCGCCCGGCCATCTTCTTAATTTCAAATCTACTGCTTACTCTCTGATCTCCTGGTCCTGGCTTCTTGTCCTACCCCTAACAAACAGAGGAGTATGTTGGCTATTACAAATAAAACTGCTATGAACCTTCAAAAAAAATATGTTTTGAAACTTACAGTAACTTTCAGAAAAGGAATGTCTCCTTCAAAAATTATTTGCCATTTACTTTAAAAAGTATGCATCATTGGAACAATAATTTTAAAGCACAGGAGAATCCCTAAATTTAATTAAGAAAGAATATTTCCTCTCTAGATGTCCTGCAGTCAGATACACAAATATCTGTAAAGAAAATTATTTAGAAGAGGTACAGAATAGTGAAAGAGTTGGGATTACAATTTAAAACATGAAATCTGTACCTAATAGGTAGTGAGGTTAAGATATTAAATTAATCATAACAACCTTTACTGAGGTGTTTCTAGAGGTGTTGGGCTCAATGCTAAATATTTTATATGCCTGATCTCACTGAATCCTCACAATCACTCTCTGAAGTCAAAATTATTAATCAATTTCAAAGACAAGGAAACTGAGGCTTGGAGATGTTAAGCAACTTTCCCAAAGTCAGTCACACAGCTAGTAAATGTCAAAACTGGCATTTGACTCGGATGAGTTTAACTCCATTTCCCATGCTCTTAACCACTATGTTATACAGCCTAAATATAGAATTTCAAATAGATTCAGAAGACCTGCATTCAAATTCTGACCCCTTCATTTATAAGCTGAGTGAACTTGGCCAAGTCACATGATCTCTTCAAGCCTTGCTTTTCTCATCTGTAAAATGAGGACTATAATTCCCTCCCAAGTTCATTGAGTGGTTTCAGGGTTTAAAAACGATCAAGTTAAGGAAGGTACTATGACTGTTATCCACTGCTCTATAAAGACATGCTGCTGTGCTTACATGGCACTCTTGGGGGCACTGATGGTGCTTTCTATTTGTAAGGATACTTCTGGATTTGAGTTCAAATGAGAGACTTAGGCTCTAACCAGGGAGAGAACAACTTAAATAACTGGAGAAAACATCTTAAGATAAACATAAAAACAACAGGAATAAAAGGCACATTTATACTGAGAGCAGACAGAGTAGCAAAAGTTACCTGGTTCCTCTGGCTGCATGAGGTCCTCTTCAGGTAAGATTCTCTCTAGGAGGTCACTCTTAGAACAGCATGGAAAGAATGATTTGTGGGGAAAAGAAGCAGAAAGGTCAAAAGGTCCTTCTACTGGAGGTCGTGTTTTTATCAATGGAAGAGTACCTGGAGATCTCTCCTTTAAAATAAGCAGGTTAAACAAACTATTAAATGATGTTATATATTTAATATTGATATAAACTTTCCTCAAAGTTGCTAAAGATATTTAAGAGAAAGACATAGAAAATATGCTAACACTGCACAACATTTACGTCTTAATAATCCTCAAAGGCCCAAAAACATTTGTCCTGTTGTCTCTGTATCTTAGTTGCTCTAAATTGTCAATTTGGAAGCTTTTTTTTTTCACATGACGGGGGAAAAATGTGTGTGCACTTTCTCTACCCGCCCTAAGAAATAAAACATTACTTAGGAGATGTAAATAAACAACGACTACAAAATACTAATGGAGTATTTCTTAACTTTTCTATATATGCTTTTTTATAACAAAACATCAGATTTAACCTTTTTACTTCAAAAGAAATATGTTGGCTATTACAAATAAAACTGCTATGAAACTTGAAAAAATGTGTTTTAAAACTTACAGTAGTTTTCAAAAAAGGAATGTCACCTTCAAAAATTATTTGCCATTTACTTTAAAAGACATACGTGTCATTGGGGCCAGGCTTGGTGGCTCACACTTGTAATCCCAACACATTGGGAAGCTGAGGCTGGTGGACGAGTTGAGGTTGGGAGTTCAAGACCAGCCTGGCCAACATGGTGAAACCGCATCTCTACTAAAAATACAAAAAAAATTAGCCGGACATGGTGAGGCACGCCTATAGTCCCAGCTACTCGGGAGGCTGAGGCAGGAGAATTGCTTGAACTCTGGAGGCGGAGGTTGCAGTGAGCCAAGATCATACCATTGCACCCCAGCCTGGGTGACAGAGTCTGTCTCAAAAAAAAAAAAAAAAATACACACACACACATATATATATATATATACGTCATTGGAACAATAATTTTAAAACACAAGGAGAATCTCTAAATTTAACTAACTGAAGTCCTTATTCCTTTGTTTTCCCATTTCATTGTTTAAAGAGTATAACCTTCTACTGCTCATGAGGTTTAACTAAAAGATAAAAGAATGTAGAATTATGTAAGATAATTAAGTTCCACAGATTTCTGAACAACATAACATTATGCCTATAGTTAACAATACTGTATTGCACTCTTAAAAACTCTGTTAAGTGGGTGTATTTGTTGTGTTTTTATTACCATAATAAAAAAAGCATATAACAAGTCAAACCACATGCAGTTGAAAAAACAATTCAGCATTCACTGAGAGGTGAGAAATAGGCCTATAAAAGGATGATTTTATAGCACCATTGTCTATATGCAAAGGTTTCTCATAATTTAAATTTTATTTGTATCTTTAAAAGCATTAAGCTTTTCTGAAGTTTTCTGAATTAACTCTAAAAGTTTGTAAGCACTCAACCCTAATAATTTTACTTAGCAAATTTATCTGAGAAGACTTTTCAATTTAAAAAGCAAACATATTTTTCTTTTAGTTTTCTTTGCAGTGTTAGGTAATACTATTATACAGAATAGGCCACAATTGTACCTTCTCTCTTCGCCGCATCCGTGCTGATACAGTTCTCTGCAGTACGTTTCCTGAGGTTAAATTGCCCAAGGGCAGAAAAGATAAGCAAGTATCATTTATTTCATCAAGTTCAATTTCTTCTGCCTTACGACGAAGACGAGGAGCAGCAAATACTACCATGTGACATCCACCACAAGCAACCTGCAGCATAAATCCACAGAAAAACTAATCAACACTGGTTTCAAACACAAATGAGTTTTTAACAGTTATCAGCTGTAAGACATTTACTTAGTGGTAGGCTTCCTTGATAGACTGACTTGGTGAATCTGTCTATACATATGTGTGTGCACAATGAGAATGTGTACACAATATGTACACAATTACCATACATATTCATTAAGCACTGTGATTGAAAATGAGAACAAGTTTAATCCACTATTTTACTTTCCATTTAAAATAATATAGAGAAAAAATAATTGGCAAATTACATTTCTCCTTACAGTTAGAAAATGTTATATTTTAATCTGGGAGGAACATTAAAAATGTGAAAAAATTACTGGAAGAATTTATTTTGAAAAAGTATTAATCAGTCTCTGGGGCTAATTATGTCTCTAAGCTTTCTTTACATGGACATTTTCTAAGTTTAATGCTTAAAAGTTCTTAGAGGAAAATAAATGAAAGTATGCATGATGACGGAACAATGAAAAATGAAATCAGCATTCAAAGAATTTTGAGAAATGATCTGCAAGAAAATGTTTTTAAAAAAACCTCATAGTGTAGTATTTTCCATACACAGGTTCTACATACTTTATAATGTTCTACTTTTCCTTCATAATACTTTAAAATTTAAATATATATATATTTATATATCCTTTTAAAAATTATCATTAGACTGTAATAAATAAGTCCTCAATGAATGAGGACTTGGTTATTTCATTCATCACTGTATACAGTACTTTGTTTTTTGTTTTTTGTTTTTTTTTGAGATGGAGTTTCACTCTTGACACTCAGGCTGGAGTGCAATGGCACAATCTTGGCTCACTGCAACCTTCGCCTCTTGGATTGAAGCATTTCTCCTGCCTCAGCCTCCTGAGTAGCTGGGATTACAAAGACCCACCACCATGCCCAGCTAATTTTTGTATTTTTAGTAGAGATGGGGTTTCGCCATGTTAGCCAGCCTGGTCTTGAACTCATGAACTCAGGTGATCCGCCTACCTCGGCTTTCCAAAGTGCTGGGATTACAGGCATGAGCCACCCTGCCTGGCCAGTACTTTGTATTTCTTATATTTAGCGCACTATCTTATACACAGTAGGCTTTCATTAAATAATTGTCAAATCAATAAATGAAAGTGTTCCATATTATGAGACATTGAGTCTTTGGAGGACAAACTGCAGTATTATCATCAAGTAAACAGAATTTTCAAAAGTCTAAACTGGCAAAAGTATTAAGAAACAATACAGGTATGATGCGTGATAGTGATGTGACACTGAAACAATATATCCTTAACCTAAGAAAATTTAGCCAAAATACCACATCTCCAAAACTATTTTATTTTATTTATTTATTTATTTATTTATTTTGGAGACAGAGTGTCACTCTATTGCCCAGGCTGGAGTGCAGTGGCACGACCACAGCTCACTGCAACCTCCACCTCCCAGGTTCAAGCAATTCTCATGCCTCAGTCTCCCAAGTAGCTGAGATTACAGTTGTGTGCCACCACACCTGGCTAATTTTTGTATTTTTTGTAGAGACAGGGTTTCACCATGTTGGCCAGGCTGGTCTTAAACTCCTGATCACAGGTGATCCACCCGCCTTGGCCTCCCAAAGTGCTGGGATTACAGGAGTAAGCCACTGTACTGCACCCCGCCAAAACTCTATTATCAGACTTTCTGTTGTGCAGGATTTGAGAGTCTCTAACATTTAATTCAGCAAGTATTTACTAAAGACCACTGTGAACAAGGTACTCTGCTGGGTGCTACACAATATACAAAGCTTGCAGGTATGGCACAGTCCCAGCTTTCAACAGATATATGCGAACGAAGAAGAATCAAGATTTCAGCAAAGAGGAAGATGCTAAAGGAGGAAAATTAGGAGAGAGACATTTTCTGAGTGGCATCATGTCTGAGATGTGGCTTTTAGGAAACTAATATTATATTTATTAGATATATCCATGATACTCTTTCATACAAACATAAAAGTATTTATATTCTATGAAATACAGAAAGACTCAAATGTAGGAATATGAAAATATAAACAGGAAAATGTGATGCCCTTACCAATTTAACTTTATACTTTAACAAATAAGAGCACAAAATGGGAATGAACTGATTGGTAAAATTCTCCAGTTCGAGTCCTAATTTTCCATGGCGACCATCTCCAAAAGTATACATAAGGCCAGTATCTAAAATGCAAAAAAATGAGAATTATAAAAGTTTTACTTGTATGGATCTATTTGCAAACAGATAAATATATTAACTTATACTGCAATTATAATTTTCCCCTTCAAATTCTACATTGAATTTACTTTGATCTACTGATCTTTCCACACTCTCCATGGTCTCCGTGGTCCTGCACGTAACATCAGGCAATAAATATTCTGAGACTAAATCAATTAACCTTGGTGGTTTGTGAAGATGATGACCTGTCACACAAGGCAGTGTGTGTGAAATCACAGCAATACAGCATGAGAGCTTGAGATCCACATCATATATTCCAAGGAGAGAAGATGTTTGTATTCTGACCCCTACATTCCAGCATGAACTATTTTCCTTTTTCCTGAGATCAATGATAGATCAGATTTTCTCAGCCTTGGCACTACTGACATTTGGGGCCAGATAATTCATGGTTGTATGGGTCTCTCCTGTACACTGTAGTATGTTCAGCAGCATCCTTGGCCTCTACCCACTAAATGGCCAGTAGGACAACTCCACTCTGCAGCCATGACAAGTAAAAAATGTCTCAAAATGTTGTCACGTAACTTGGGGGGCGGGGGATGCACAAAATCTCTACTACTGGTTTGGTTTAACTAATCTGGCTCCTGGGCTGTGGAATACTTTTGAAGTAAATGCCATAAGCCAACCATGCTAAGCAATTTCTATACCAATACCTGGGTCCCCTCTGAAGCTAGGCCCATAATGATGATGAGTAATCTTGTCACTTCTCATCAGTTAGTCCTTTTGCTCACTGCCATAGCAGCTATTATGAACCTTCACACTCCCTTCTTCAAGCCGCTCCTTCATACCCTCCATCTCAAATGGGGTAAGGGTCAGGGCAGCAGAAGTAAAGGGTGTTAATATGGTGCAGAGGAGGGGAATTTTCCTCTAGTCTGGGGATTAGGGAAGGCTTTCAAAGGGTAACCTAAAGGATTAGTAGGGCTTAGCTGCATGAAGAAAGGAGCAAAGAATCTTCCAGGCAGTCAGCAATACACAGAAAGGCTCTGAATCAAGAGCAAATGTGCCTTGGGCAAGAAGCTGAAAGACAACTAACACACCTGGAGCACCAAGGGGAGAGTGGTGGGGGATGAGTCTGAAGAAGTAAAAAGGGACTACTTGTTGTGTCCTATTAGTTGAGATGAAGAATTTTTAAACTTTATCTTAAGGACATTAAGAAGGAAAATGAATGGTTTTAAGCTGGGAAACAATTGGATCACCTTTGGGGACTTCTGGTTTAAGATGGCACAGTTACTGCATACTAAGCAAATCCAAGAGAACTGACTGAAAAATCATTAGAAATAATAATATAATCCAGTAAGGTGGCAAGTATAAAAATTAATTTACAAAAATAGGTAGATTCCCTGTAAATATATAAATAAGTGATAGTCAGTGTTTGACTTTTTAGACTATTTTTTTTTTTTTTTTTTTTTTTTTGAGACAGAGTCTCACTCTGTCACGCAGGCTGGAGTGCAATGGCACAATCTTGGCTCACTGCAACCACTGCAACCTCCGCCTCCTGGGTTCAAGTGATTCTCCTGTCTCAGCTCCTAAGTAGTCGGGATTACAGGCACACACTGTCATCCCCGGCTAATTTTTGTATTTTTTCTTAGTAGAAATTGGGTTTCACCATGTTGACCAGGCTACAGACTCTTATAATTCTTATTATTAAGTATTTATGTCCTTCCTTTATATATACTCCTTATCAACTTTATCCCTTCTTTCTCTTTCTTTTCAACTGGATTTCTTTACCCTAAATATTTAAGGTTTGCCTTTTTAATTTGATTGTCTTTTGTCTGAAAAAAATAAACACCAGGCCGGGCACGGTGGCTCATGCCTGTAATCTCAACACTTTGGGAGGTCGAGGCAGGTAGATCACTTGGGGTCAAGAGTTTGAGACAAGCCTGGCCAACATGGCAAAACCCTCCCTCTACTAAAAATAAAAAAAAATTAGCTGGGAGTAGTGGCGGGCACCTGTAATCCCAGGCACTTGGGAGGCTGAGGCAGAAGAATCGCTTTAACATGGGAAACGGAGGTTGCAGTGAGCCGAGATTGCGCCACTGCACGCCAGCCAGGCGACAGAGTGAGACTCCGTCTCAAAAAAAACAGAAACAAAGAAACCCCCAGTCCAAGCTGCCTGATTGCACTTCCAATATCAGAGAGATTTTAAAAATTTGAGCCACTGGCTATAATGGGAACTGGCAAGATCTTACAGATAACCCACTACATACTTCTCATTAGTCCTGAAGGAAAAAAAAAATCCACACCACTTGTCCTCTAGGGACGACTGATGAACAAAAAGGCAAACAAAGTTAATGTTCAATTATTTGTGCTATAAGCCTTTTGATCAGGAGTAAAGGTACTATGAAAATTTAACTAAATAATCAAATTGTATATTGGATGACAGATTAAAAACAGTATGTATTCACTCTCAGTGGGAGTTTACAGTTGATGGAAAATGACAGTAAGGACAGAGAAAGTGAGATTAGGATCCTATAGTTAAGAGATACATATCAACAACTCTTAATGGATGATGAATGAATACTTTTTACATTTTATATAATGCTACTTCATGATATATCATCAAGGACATTGATACTTGATATGGGCAGGTCATCCTCTCTGAAAGGTTCTCTGGGGAAGAAGGAACAGTGTATCTTACATTTGCTGATTCCTAATTTCCCTAACCAGATACCATTAGATGAGCAGTAGCTTGTTCACAGCAGCAGCTTTTTCAGAGAGAAGGAAAAAAAATAGAAATACTAGTAGATGGATTATGTCAATATACTAGATGATTTCTGACTGTCCAATGCTTCACTTCATTTTTAGACAAAAATAGTGAAATCATATACACTTTTGTTACAAAGCATTTAAAATTGTGGACTATATCAACTACCTACGTATGTGCAACTGAATCAGTTAGGGGAGAATCTTTACTGAGTCCTACATTATTAGCAGCACATAGTTTTGAGATTGAGAAGCTGGCTCAAAGGAACATTTCCCTGCATGAAGGAGATACCACAGAGTGGAAAAAGGTATCCACTTACTGATCTCTGAGGTGCCCTTCTAACACTGGAAAGAGAAGGAAAGAAGTCATTCCTGAAAACGCCTCCAGGTGGCAAAAACGTAAGAATTGACTCAGACTGAGTACAGCTCTGTCTGACTGAACAGAAAGAATGTTTTAAAATAAGTTTTTGCTTGTGGGATTTTTCCTTTTGGCCTGAGCAGAGTTAAGAGCCTTCAAACTGGCCATACTCGGTGGCTCATGCCTGTAATCTCAGCACTTTGGGAGGCTGAGGTGGGTGGATCACGAGGTCAGGAGTTCAAGACCAGCCTGGCCAAGATGTTGAAACCCCGTCTCTACTAAAAATACAAAAATTAGCTGAGCATGGTGGTACGCGCCTGTAATCCCAGCTACTCAGGAGGCTGAGGTGAAAGAATCGCTTGAACCTGGGAGGAGGAGGTTGCAGTGAGCCAAGATGGTGCCACTGCACTCCAGCCTGGGTGACAGAGTGAGACTCTGTCTCAAGAAAAAAAAAAAGGCTTCAGACTGATACAATTTCAAAATGATTCCTGTTTTCCGCCAAAGAATAATACTATGGTCTTATTACTGACATCATCAGCTTATTGTGAGGTTCTAAATGTTGGGATCATTTACATTCTAAATTGAATTAAAATAATAAAAAGGAGCTCACAACTTTATATTTTGGAATATTAAACATGGATTTACATTTTCCTCAGCCATGAACTCCTTTACTTAAGTTAGATACATTCATTTCAGATATAATTTATTTTGTAATAAAATATGCCCAGTTCTATAAATATATAACAGAAATTCTAATCCATACCTGTTAACAAAGCGGCATGATTTTCTCCACAAGAAATATAGCTTATTTTTCGACCCTTAATACTCTCAACAACTCTGGGTTCTGAAGTTTCAAAAAGAAAAGTGCCAAGACCCAGCTGACCAAATTTTCCCAGCCCAAAGGTATACAGATCATTCTCTGAAAGGAAAGGGGCAAATACAAGAGAAGGATTATGGAAGCAGACACTGTTACCATCATATCTGGAAAAACTTTGACATTCAACCTTTTATAGTGAAGGTTAAATACCTCTGGGAAAAAAAAACACATGTAAGAATACTTAATACTGAAGTATAAATCTTTCAATGAAGAAGAGAAAAATGAAAAGGTACACAATTATAAAAATTATGACATGGGTATGATTGTATCTTTTATATACAACCATAAACAGTAAGTAACAGGTATAACAGGTATGATACAAGGCACGTAAGTCAGGGTACCTGAAATGTCACCATAATTACAGTTAGCTCAAAAAGTACCAACTGTCAGCCAGTTGCAGTTGCTCATGCCTGTAATCCCAGCACTTTGGGAGGCCAAGGCAGGAGGATTGCTTGAGGCCAGGAGTTCAAGACCGGACTCACCAACATGGTGAAATCCTATCTCTACTAAAATTACAAAAATTAGCTGGGCATGGTGGCACACATCTATAACCCCAGCTACTCAGGAGGCTGAGGCACACGAATCACTTGAACCCAGGAGGCAAAGGTTGCAGTAAGCCAAAATCGCACAACTGCACTCCAACCTGGGTAACAGAGCGACACTCCATCTCAAAGAATAAAAAAGAAAGTATCAACTGCCATTCAGCTAATTCACTACCTCAGAATAAACAGTGAATAGTGTCTTCTACAGAAAAACTTCCTTTTAAAAGTAGTTTCGGATCACCTAAGGTCAGGAGTTGGAAAAGAGGCTACAGTCAGGAGTTGGAGAAGAGCCTGGCCAACATGGTGAAACCCTGTCTCTATTAAAAATACAAAATACAAAAATTAGCTGGGCATGGTGGCGCACACCTATGATCCCAGCTGCTAGGGAGGCTGAGGTAGGAGAATCACTTGAACCCAGGACGCGGAGGTTGCAGTGAGCCGAGATCAAGCCACTGCACTCCAGCCTGGGCAACAGAGCAAGACTTCATCTTAAAAATAAAATAAAGAAGTCTAATAATCTATGTTATAAAACCTAATTTCAGAGAATTGTCTTGAGAATTGAAACAGACGGTACATATGCTAGATTTATTCACAAGTAAAGCTTCTTTACTAGGAAATGCAACTATAATAAGAGGAGAGGGAAAAGCTTTTCTTTATATTGATATTTTGAAGTGATTCCAAAAGACTTCCAATAACTCAGTAAATATTAGGCCATATGTTTTCTAGAAACGGAAAAGCATAAAAACAGGATACATGACCCTGATGAAAGGGCCCTCTAGACGCATCATGTTCTTGGCTGCTGCATTAGGAAGCGCATTGTTGATTCCATTAGTCACTATCGCCTTAGTACACTGAGTTTAGTACATCGAGTTTCTCCTACTGCAGAAGGAAGGGCAAGAGCTTGGTATTCAGGTTAGACCCAAACCTTCATTATTTCCAGATGTGGCAAGCAGGTGAGTTACGTACATTCTCTGATGTCATAATCCCTATCTAATAGAGTTGCTGACAGGATTAAAAGAGAAAACATTCAGGCAGATTTGAAAACACAATAAGACATTCCGTTGTAAAAAACACTTTTCTAAAAAAATATCTAGTCAACTCATCTTATTCTAACAATGGAGGTTAAAAATGAAAACGTAACTGTCGATTGTCATATAGTTTTACATCTTTTTCTAACAAAAATGTCTGCTTCATAAATAAGGCTATAGATATTACCCCTTAAAGAAAACATGCTGTATCAAGGATATGAAGCCATACTGAGGCAATGGCAAAATGATCCTTATTTTAATATTAAAAACCATCTTAGTTTAATTAATAATCACATGGCATATTTCCAGTTCTAAATGTTCAGCTTAACAGTAGAATGTTGGGTAGATTAAAACAATTATCTATGTCTAGCTGACCAATAATTACTCTCCAATTCTTAGGCTGTCAGATTTTAATTAGCCTGTGAAATGAGGCCGTTTAGGCAGCCTGAATCATGCTACAAACATTTTGTTCAGTATCCTGGTAGGTTCCCATTCAGCTGCTTGGATATTAGTGATGACAGCAGTTTCTATTTCATAAAAATGATCTAAGATGCTCTTATTTAAGGACATTATATTTAATAGCCAACAGAATTGTTGGCCCTATCACCTTTGCGAAATCTAGTAACATAATTTAATGTTAATAATATTACATTAGGAAAAGATTTGATCAGTGAGCTTGAGATCAATATTACTATAATTTCAGAGAATATACTTGATTTCAGAACTAATAATTTGTTGAACTGTAGAAAAGTTAAGTTTATCCAAACATAATCTGAGAAGTTAAGATAAATTCTCATTTGCCTCAGGACCAAGATATCATTGTGGACCCCATTTTACAACTGGCCTTTCTTGTCTGTTGGTAACTGCTGTGGATGACATACAAAATTACAAGTATCACTCTGCCTTACTTAGTGTGTCCCAAGTTCCAGCCTCAGACTTTTTTCCACAGTTGTCCATGGTTTCCCTGATCTCAAGGAGAAACTATAATCACCCCATCACCACAACCAGTTGTATTTTCTAACCTATCATGGTCATGTGCAAATATTATATTTTAAATAAATTCATCAGAAATGAACTAAATTGCTTTTAAAGTAGTTTAATGAAAGATCCTCAAATAGATTTTAAGATAAGAGGTATATACCCAAAGAACTATAAAGCGTTCTACTATAAAGACATGTACATGTATGTTCACTGCAGCCCTGTGTACAATAGCAAAGACCTGGAACCAACCCAAATGTCCATCAATGATAGACTGAACAAAGAAAATGTGGTACATATACACCATGAAATACCACACAGCCATAAAAAACAATGAGTTCATGTCCTTTGTAGGGACTTGGATGAATCTGGAAACCGTCATTCTCAGCAAACTGACACAAGAACAGAAAACCAAACACCACATGGTCTCACTCATAGGTGGGTGTTGAACAACAAGAAGACGTGGACTCAGGGAGAGGAACATCACACTGGGGCAGTTGGGGGGCGGTAGGGGAGAGACAGTGGGGGGTGGGGAGGGATAACATGGGGAGAAATGCCAGATATATTATGCACCTGAAGTAAAATTTAAAAAAAAAAGGGTTATAGACACATAGAAAAACAAAAAAACAAAGCTGCGGAGGTCCTTCGTAGAATCATCTATTCCATGTCCTTTCCTTTAATGAAATAAATTGGAACAGGTGATTAGGTATTCTTTCCTTAAGGTCTTACAAAATATTTCATAACTCTCTTAGCAATCCAGTTTAGTATTTAATCATACTGATGATCAATATACCCTTCAGGTCCATTTCTTCATCAGCTAGGACTAAATATTTTTAAAATTCTGCCTATACTGTGTTCCAACAGGGCTGGCTCATACTAAAGCTCTCACAGGTCCATGGAAAAACATGAAAAACAGGTAAAGCAGTGAAATTTCCATACAGATACATTTATACAGTTTAAGGAGGTGTCCTTTATTATACAATTAAGAGCTTTTTATTTTGAAATTTTTCCTTATTTTATGATATGATAGTGCAAACTGTCATTTTTTTTTCAATGCCCATATTTAGGCAAATGCAAATCAGAAGCTGGCAACCATCTATTGGTTCTCACAACTTTTTAAACTCAAATTTTAGATTATTCTCTGGGTTGTAACACAAGCTCTTCACTGTTTACAAAGTCATTTGTGAAATGTAAAAATTATCTCTTCATTTTTTTTCCCTGTATTACAAAGTTTTTCTCCTGTATTCCCCCATTCAATGTTGGCTGCCACAATCAGACAGGAAATGCAAGGACACTTTTTTTCTTGCATCTGTAATGAAAATCTTAGTGGCAAACAATAACTGTTCCAGGTCTGTCAAATAGATGTATCTCATAATTTAAAAAACTTTACTGGAGCCGGGCGTGGTGGCTCACACCTGTAATCCCGGCACTTTGGGAGGCTGAGGCGGGTGGATCATGAGGTCAAGAGATCGAGACCATCCTGGTCAACATGGTGAAACCCAGTCTCTACTAAAAATACAAAAACTTAGCTGGGCATGGTGGCGCGTGCCTGTAATCCCAGCTACTCAGGAGGCTGAAGCAGGAGAATTGCCTGAACCCAGAAGGCGGAGGTTGCGGTGAGCTGAGATTGCGCCATTGCACTCCAGCCTGGGTAACAAGCAAAACTCCATCTCAAAAAAAAAAAAAAACAAACTTTACTGGTCTGTGAGATTTCAAAGCTTGCAAAAATCTGGAGAAAGCAATAAATTTCTGGAAACATTGTATTTAAGGTTAGAACAAAGTCCACAGAAAGTTAACTGTCTTTAAAATCACAAGAAAATATCATCCTTAAGCACCCTGCTTACTTTAAATGAAGAATTTAAAATTAAGAATTAAGCTTTCATTAAAAGTATCATAGATTATCTTGTTGCTCACTTTATATGAAAATATTTTATAATGAATGAAGACATTATTATATAATCAACATTTGTACCCTTCAAAATAACATTGAATGACCTACTAAATTAATTCTTTCTATAATCTTTGCATAAACTAGAGAAAATATATAACACATAAAGAACATGTTGCATTTCTGCCTATAGAATGAATTTTCAGACACGTAAAAATTAGTTTCAAAGTTTAATTTTTAGAATATTTTCGAAATTATATAAAAGTTCACTTTTTCAGCAGGAATTCAAAAAAAACTTAAACCTCAGAATTATTTCCAAATTTATAGAAGTTTTGAAAAAAAATTATTTCTAACTTAGAAAAGATTCCTTCTAGAAACTAAAGCTAAACAGGACTGGGGCTAGAACAGGATATTGAGGAAAAGTAACACCAGAGAAAAATATATAAAGATAAAATATTATTCACTTACCTGGCAACATCGGGGATATCATCTTAGAATTGTGTATTATTCAAAATATGTCGACAACATTTCTAACTTTGGGCTACTAAAGATTAAGTGGTGACTTCGTAACTTGTTAATTTCTTTTTGTGCAAAAAATATAATAATAATAAACTAATTGTATTATGTACATTACTCATCTAAAATGCATCTAATACTGAAAAAATTTGGAAGCATCAATTTAGTAAATATATTAGCAAGTAGTGAGTATATTTCAATACAGTGATTAGAATCCTGAGAAATTCCACGTCAAAACAAATATGAAATTCAGATCCCAAAAGTAACATTACTATTGAGGTCCTAACTTTCTTTTATTATCTGTAATTTAAAACTTTACCACTTTTTAATGAATTGCTGTAACAGAACATACAACTTTAAAAAAATCTCCAAGTTATACATTGTAAATATCACAAAGAAAATGATCAATGACATGCAGAAAACAGCATGAACAAAAAGCTTCTCCAAAAGAAGGCATTTCAGGAAAAATGTCAATTTTAGATAAATATGGAATATATACACATGAGAAAAACTGTCCTTGAAAATGATCTAAAAATAATGTCATATACTGTCATTAAAAATGTTAAGGTCAGGCCAGGAGTGGTGGCTCATGCCTCTAATCTCAGCACTTTCGGAGGCCAATGCCAATCACCTGAGGTCAGGAGTTTGAAACCAGCCTTGACAACACGGCAAAACCTGCCTCTACTAAAAATACAAAAATCAGCTGGGAGTGGGGGGTGATACATGTAATCCCAGCTACTCAGGAGGCTGAGTCAGGAGAATCACTTGAACTCGGGAGGTGGAGGTTGCAGTGAGCCGAGATCCAGCATTGCACTTCAGCCTGGATGACAAGAACAAAACTCCATCTCCAAAAAAAAAAAAAATGTTAAGGTAATGAAAGTGTATATTATGTTAGCAGAAAAAATTCAGCAAGATTCGTTTTTCTTCTACTTAAAAAAATTATTCCATAAACCAGAAATGTATATTAAGTATAGGAATAAAGGGTGAGAATCTTTTTGAGTTTTTTTTTTTTTTTTTTTTTTTTTTTGAGACAAGGTCTGGTTCTGTTTGCCCAGGCTTCAGTGCAGTGGCACAATCACCGCTCACCTCAACCTCAACCTCCCCAGGCTCAGGTGATCCACCCACCTCAGCCTCCTGAATAGCTGAAACCACACTTGGCTAATTTTAGTAAAGATGGGGTTTCATCCTGTTGCTTAGGTTGGTCTTGAACTCCTGAGCTCAAGAGATCTGCCCACCGTGGCCTCCCAAAATGTTAGGATTACAGGCGTCAGCCATTGTACCAGGCCCAAAAAGTGAGATTCTTAATGGAAAGTGATGCAAGGCCACGTGACACAAGGTATCTAAGAGTCAAACTCATAGAGGCTAAGAATAGAACGGTGGTTGCCAGGAGCTCATGGGAGGCAGGAAAGAGGAGTTGCCGTCCAGTGGGCATGAAGTTTCAGTTACTCAAGATAAGTTTCAGAGATCTGCTGTACAACGGTTGTACCTACATATAAAAAATACTGTATTATACACTTAAAAAACTATCATGGGGCCGAGCGCGGTGGCTCAAGCCTGTAATCCCAGCACTTTGGGAGGCCGAGGCAGGTGGATCATGAGGTCAAGAGATCGAGACCATCCTGGTCAACATGGTGAAACCCCGTCTCTACTAAAAATACAAAAAATTAGCCGGGCATGGTGGCGCGTGCCTGTAATCCCAGCTACTCAGGAGGCTGAGGCAGGAGAATTGCCTGAACCCAGGAGGCGGAGGTTGAGGTGAGCCGAGATCGCGCCATTGCACTCCAGCCTGGGTAACAAGAGTGAAACTCCATCTCAAAAAAAAAAAAAAAAAAAAAAAACTATCATGAAGATAGTTATCATGGTAAGTATTCTTACCACAATAAAAAAATGAACATTAAAAAAATTTCATTAGCCATCACAGGAAGCAGGAAACAGAACAGTGGACTCTGCACATACCTGTGAGAACCACACTATGCTCTCCGCCGCAAGCTACTTGGATCACCTTCTCAGGAATTTCAGGCACCAGTTGGGGTATTCTGTGATTGCTCAGGAGTTCATAGGGAAGACCTAACTTTCCATTTTCAGGTTCTCCAAATATATATAGCTCACCATCTGCTATTGAAGGAAAAGTACAGTGATTAATAATGACATACATATGAACAAAAAGCTGGTTGTACCTTCAATAAAAAGTTTTGACAATGATAACTTAATACATTTGACTTTTCTTAAGATATTTTTACTGTATGATAAGGAAATAAAGCTAGATTTTCCCCTTGATTATCTTAACCCAATAATTTTCATGAAAAATTCATGACTATGACTACTAATAAATCATTTTAGTGCTTTCACTAAACAGTGAATAATACCTTGTGTCTTTTACTTACTTAAAGCTCCCATAAAAACATGAATTTTGTCTCATTCACTATTTTATCCCCCAAACCTAGCAGTGTCTAGAATAAGCGCTTAGTATTTGTAGAATAAATGAATGAATAATTGCTTTATATGAAACTGGTTTTAGAAAACTCACTTAAGCGTGCAGGAAATATGTTAAGTAAATCTTAAGATAGCAGATTTCACCATTCAGATGACACTTCCTCCAAAAAGACTCTTACCAAGGAATTCCTGACACATAATCACTGCCCTATCCATACTAACACTATTAATTTGCTTAATTACATTTATCACACTGTATTATGACTGTGAAGTTCTTGAAAGCAAGAACTTTCTTATTCATTTCTGTGCAATTAACTGAGTTCTTATAAAGTAGAATTTAAAACCCTTGTGTAAGTATATGATCCAATATGAAGAATGACATAGAACACGTCACCACTGGTATGAGGAAAGACACAACAGAGCAGATCTGCTTGCTTATTCTTTGCAAGTCTCTGAGAGAACCATGATTGATCCTTGCCCAACCCCTGGGAAGGTGGCCCCTGGAGCGTTCTTTATGTGAGTGATTAATGATTTTGTTATATACACCAGGGCAATGAATTATGCCAGATTAGGTTTCTTAGGCTAAGGTTTCTTTCTAAGGCTGCTTGCACAAATGTCAACATTGATGACACGCACCTGGCTTCATTACTGAGGGTTCTCTGAGTTTCCGATGCTGTGGCCAGCTGCTAGCAGGAAATGCCTGAATGACCAGCCCCCCTAAATCCACTGGAAGCACCAGAATGGGCTTCCCTGGGCAGAGACACCCCACACATGTCCCTGTAGTTCACTGCTAAGAAGAAAACATGCCCTGTGTGGTTTCCTAAAAGAAAGTACTAGAAAGCCTATGTTTGACTTTTCTGCACTCCATTGCAGATGCTTATCTTTTTCCTACTTTTTATTTTTGCTTTGCATCCTTTGCTGTAATAAATCTTATCCATAAGTATAACCGGCTATTGAAGATTATGAGTCCTTCTAGAAAATCACAGAACTTAGGGAAGGTGTGGGAGAGCCAATAAACAAGATATGTACCACTTAAAATACGGTCAAATACTGTAAACACAACTATATTGATTTTCTGAATTGATCTGCACAGAAAATGAAGTTTTATGGACCACAGTTTTCTATGAAGTATTTAGCAAACACTGGCACAAAAGTGGTGCCTAATAAGTTAGCACCCTTCCCCATTTTCCCACGCTTGTTGCCTCCCATAGGAAACTGGTTACTAAGTCCTAATGAGTCTCTCCCCGTTTCTAAGTCCTAATGAGTCTCTCCCCGTTTCTGTCTACAGATTCCTGATTCCCCTTACGCCTTAACATGAATTTTCACCTGATCAAGTTTTCCAAATGTCTTTCCTACCTCTAATCCAACATACCCACACAGTATCAGATATATCTTCCAAAAACAAGGCTCTAATTATGACACCTCCAAATTAAAAAAAAAAAAAAAAACAACACATGTATCAAGTATAAACTCTTCAGATTGTTACAAGAAACCTTCCATATTAGGTCCCCGGACTCCTACCAGTCATATTTCTATCTATTTCACTTAGGCCTATTAATTTTTATAAAATCTGGATTCCTCAAACTATCTACCTGGGTCTGAGAGTCACCTTCCCTAGGATTCTGATCTTAAGCACACTGTCAAGTCTCTATTCTCCAGTCTCTGAAGATTGTTCCACAAATTCCTGCCCCCAGGTACTGTGACCCCAACTCATTTGCTTATATCCTCTATTGTACTGCACCTAATTCAGTGAATTATTGGTTGAAATGCTTGGACCCAACTATTAACATATCAGATGAAAAGACACAGAAATAAGGGATATACCTGAAACCTCCATAGATTTTACCTATAATATGTGAAAACTGAGTATTTTATATAATTTATAATATGAACTTGAAATGAGAACATGAATTTAAAACATGAATGTGAGCATTTAAACATACTATTAGGTTAAAAATCTGTAGGAAGTCTTAAACATGACTATCTTAGTAATCTGTTCTGTATTTTTATTAGGAAATAAACAGTTCTGTTTGAAGGTTCCTCAAAAAACTAAAAACAGCTACCGCATGATCCAACAATCCCACTGTTGGGCATATATCCAAAAGAAGGGAAACCAGTATATCAAAGATATTATCTGCACTCCCATGTTTGTTGCAGCAATGTTCACAAAAGCCAAGAACTGAGGGCAATCTAAGTGTTTATCAAAAGATGAATGGATAGGGCTGGGCGCGGTGGCTCACGCCTGTAATCCCAGCACTGTGGGAGGCCGAGGCGGTGGATCACGAGGTCAAGAGATCGAGACCATCCTGGTCAACATGGTGAAACCGTAGCTCTACTAAAAAGACAAAAAATTAGCTGGGCATGGTGGCACATGACGGTAATCCAGCTACTCAGGAGGCTGAGGCAGGAGAATTGCCTGAACCCAGGAGGCGGAGGTTGCGGTGAGCCGAGATCGCGCCATTGCACTCCAGCCTGAGTAACAAGAGCGAAACTGCGTCTCAAAAAAAAAAAAAAAAAAAAAGATGAATGGATAAAGAAAATGTGGGGCCGGACACGGTAGCTCACACCTGTAATCCCAGCACTTTGGAAGGCCAAGGTGGGTGGATTACCTGAGGTCAGGAGTACAAGTCCAACCTGACCAACCTGGTGAAACCCTGTCTCTATTAAAAATACAAAAAAAAAAAAAAATCAGCTGGGCAGATGGTGGGCACCTGTAATACCAGCTGCTCAGGAGGCTGAGGCAGGAGAATTGCTTGAACCTGGGATGCCCAGGTTGCGGTGAGCCAAGATCATGCCACTGCACTCCATCCTGGGCAACAGAGCAAGACTCTGTCTTAAAAAAAAATGTGGTACTTAATGCACAATGGAGTACTATTCAGCCATTAAAAAGAATGAGATTCAGTCATTTGTAATGACATGGATAGAACTGGAGGTCATTACGTTAAATGAAATCAAACAGGGTGGTTAATGAGTCCAAAAACTAGAAAAACAATACCTAGTATTAGTACAGCAGGATGGTTACAGTCAAAATAATTTAACTGTACATTTTTAAATAACTAAAAGAGTATCATTGGATTGTTTGTAACACAAAGGATAAATGTTTGAGAGGACAGATACCCCATTTTCCATGATGTGAATATTAGCCATCACACACCTGTATAAAAACATCATGCTGCTACCAATTCATTGGCAACTTTGGGGGGCACTGAAATGGGTCAATTACCACTTTCTAACCCTGAATCTATGGCACATGGAATAAAGAGTAAATGTATAAAATAAATATTTAAAGATTTGTCTAAGAGGGCCCATAAAACTATTTCCTCTAGGTGTTTTCACTATTAAAAAATCCCACAATTAGATAGAAAGCCATAATCATACTTCCTGTATTATTATTAGTGCAGATACAGACTGTAACAGCTAGAGTCCAACATTTCAAATATTTTAACTAAGATAGAAAAGGTTGCCAGTGGGTCCAAGAGAAGTTGGGAATGCTGAGAAAGTCCCACCAAAGGAAACCATATGTCATGCTAAGCTCTCTATATTCACCTAAAAAGTGATCATGTCAGAGAGAGTTTGAATTATGAACTCTAATTATATAAATGGAGAAATACTGTGACCTAAAAAAGACCAAAATCATTTCATTACATGGACAACCATGGCATTATTTCTACAGAACCAGAGAATATGTTACATCATTTCATTATTAATTTAGTAATAACAGAGAAGTGGGACATAACATGATGAATTCAAAATGTGTCTTACTTGTTACAAAAGCTGAATGGTAATAGCCACAAGAGATCCAGGAGACAGGTTTCCCAGTGGTCACTTGATGAGGGACACAGGCATTAGGCATATCTGGTAAGCCAATTTGTCCTTCGGAATTGTCACCCCACATAAAAAGTCTTCCATCCTCTATAAAGAAAAACACAAGCGGGAGAAAGGGTTTTAAAAGATAGGCAGGCTCTCAAGCTATTATACTTCCAAAAGATCATTTATTTTTTAATTCATAAAAATTATGTATCTTGATAATAAAGTACTACTAAGACATTTATACTAGCTAGCTACTTAACAGTTCAATTTGTATTGTGAAATGCTTCTACAATGATAAAGAACACTAAATAGCCTGATTGTAAATCACTTTAGTCACGGACATATTTTTATCTTGTTAGCAAAGACAGAATGCCCTTTCCTACAATCACCCTTTCCCATTCTAATGTCTCTAAACAGTAATGTTCTCCTCCTTCTAAGCAGTCTACCTGCAACTGAACTGAAAGACAGCACAGGTCACATCAGACATTTGCAGGTCAAAAAAGCCTGGAAGACCTTGCTCTTGAAAGCTCTGTGGAAATGATGTTTTAAAAAAGAACAAAATAAATGTATTTCACTATATTTTTTTCCTTATAATTTAAACCTGAAAACACAGAATCCAGTCTCAGAGAATGAGGATATAATAGCATGAACAGCATCTCAAAAATAGGTAACATATAATTTCTGATAAGGATTTTGATGTCAGAAAAAGCTAACCTAGGAAAAATATTTTAGAAAGGAATTATCAACTTATTTATTTATATATTTTAATTAATTTAATTTTTTAATGTTTGAAATGGTTAAATAATGCAAATCAAGTAACTGAAAATAAGAACTGAAAGAATGATGTCAAATTGCTAACTTAATGGCTGACAAAATCTAAAGAACTGAGGTCCAGATACAACTCCGACTTTCCTGATAGAGTAACACTGGATGTTACACAGTCTCCTGCTTGAAACAAAGCAGTGAACCAGCAGCTTCAGTGAGATCGAGCTGATCTTGGCTCCAAACTTTAAAGAAATGTCTCATATGGGCTTTTGGTAGAAAGAGCAGAGAGGTACAATGACCATTACAAACCAAATCTTAACATATGCTGCAACAGATTTCTGTGGATGTTTCTGATAGCAACTTCAGTTAAAACTGTGAGTATAACTTTCAGAGCACACAATGAAAATAATATTTAAGAATATCTAAAGGAGTAGAGACACAGCATAGCTTAGAACTTATTTGTCCATTACTTTTTAAATGTATATGTACATTCTAGCTCAAAATAAGCATAAAATTGCAATATGTCAAAATTTAAAGTTATATTTTAAATGTTTTCTGAAAGGACATAGTCAATGAAACAAAACTAAACAGCAATGCTGTCTTCAGTTTACTGAGCTGGCATATCTTGATCTATAGGAAAGGAATGTGTCCCAGATTGAAAAGGAAGTAAGTCTCACCAGTTAGGGCAGCTGAAGTATTAGATCCAGCAGAGAGCTGTTTAATCTTATGCTGGGGTGTAAAAAAGCTAATTAGATGAAAAGTGGTTCTTTCTTCAGTGTCACCAAGCCCCAACTGTCCTTCATCATTTCCCCCAGTTGCATATACATTGCCTCCTTCTGTACATGAAAAAGAAGACATCAATAGACTATAGAGTCCCTCTTTTTACAAGACAGGTCAGTGTAGAGCAGTGATTTCCTCTATTAACGGTGAAGAAGGTTGAAAATTATCATTATCCTATTATTTGGTAGACAACTCCATTTCATTCTCAAAATAAAACAAAACAAGCAAGGCCACATACTTTTGTGAGATTTTAGAAATCAATCTATAATGTAACTAGCAATTGAAATGACCAGAATGCATGAAACATATTTCTTGCTAATATTGCACTTTATTAACTCAGAGTAAAAACAAAGAAAGTAACTTCCAAATTAGTTTAAAATGCAAATATAACTATTTTAAAAGAGATGTGTTCCTTAATTTTAACTTCTGTACCCAGTAAAGTTAAGGTATAATAGTACAAATAAGTAAAATGAGGGAAATCCAGGAAGAATCTAATTAGAAACATAATTCTATGTTGTATTTATTTTAACTTCCTAGTTAAATAGGAGGGTACTATAGCACTCTGTTTAGGAGGCAAGACTCCAGAACCAGACTGCTTGAGTGCAAATTCTGGCCTGCCACTTACCAAAATTGTGGGACCTTGGGTAAGCCATAACCTCTGTGTGCCTCATTTTCCTCATCTATAAAATGGTGACAATAATAGTACCTACTTCATAGAGTTGCTATGAAGATTGAATTAGTTGACAGTTATAAAATTCTTAGAACAGCATTTGGCTCATTTAAAGTATGTAAAAATGTTTGTTAGTTACTCTCTTAATTAAATAAAAAGTACATCATGCCTAGATTATAAATATTACCAGTAAGCTGTAAATTAATGAAGATTTTTAACACACACATTAAATTAGCTATCTATGTCTTAAATGTATACATGAAGTTAAAGCAGACGTCCCCAAACTTTTTACACAGGGGGCCAGTTCACTGTCCCTCAGACCGTTGGAGGGCCGCCATATACTGTGCTCCTCTCACTGACCACCAATGAAAGAGGTGCCCCTTCCTGAAGTGCAGCGGGGGGCTGGATAAATGGCCTCAGGGGGCCACATGCAGCCCGTGGGCCGTAGTTTGGGGATGCCCGAGTGAAAGCCTTGCTAAATTATGGGGCAAAATCAGCGTGAATGAGTAAAAATTTTAAAGTTATTGTTATTTTTTATTTTATTGTTTTAGGAAAAGAAGAAACCTAATTGGGGAAACAAGACTAGCTTTCAAATGGAAAATACTACAAGGTCAATGAAATTGGAGTACACAATTAATACATATGGAGCAAACCAGAGTTGGTGAGATGCTGCAATAATTCAAACAAATAAATGAACACAAAGTTGTGAACAGCCACAAAATGTTCCATGGAAGAAGTAACACTTAACAGGATCTCAAAAAATAATCTGAAAAGGCTAAGAGAAAGAGAAAAGACACTTAAGAAAGAAAAACATATGAGTGGTGAAGAGGAGCTGAGGCAGTGAGAACATCCTAAAGGCAGAATAAGCTGGGGGGCAGGGGTGTGGGGCGGGGGGAAGGAGGTAGAAGTACTGTTCAGTGGTCAGGTCCTGGAGGTCTAATTGTTCCAACAGCATTTGCTGAAAATACTACCCTTTCTCTATTTAATTTCCTTGGCATCTCTGCCAAAAATCAAGTGGGCATATACATATGGGTCTACTTGTAGACTCTATTCTGTTCCATTAATCTTTGTCTATCTTTTTGCCAATACCACACTGTCTTGATTACAGTAGCTTTACCGTGGGTCTTCAAATAGGGTAATGCCAGTCCCCTAATTTTGTTTTTGTTTTTGTTTTTGTTTTTTGAGACGGAGTTTCGCTCTTGTTACCCAGGCTGGAGTGCAATGGCACGATCTTGGCTCACCACAACCTCCGCCTCCTGGGTTCAGGCAATTCTCCTGCCTCAGCCTCCTGGGTAGCTGGGATTACAGGCACGCGCCACCATGCCCAGCTAATTTTTTGTATTTTTAGTAGAGACGGGGTTTCACCATGTTGACCAGGATGGTCTCGATCTCTTAACCTCGTGATCCACCCGCCTTGGCCTCCCAAAGTGCTGGGATTACAGACGTGAGCCACCGCACCCGGCCAATTTTGTTATTTTTTAAAATTGTTTTGGCTCTTGTATGTCATTTGCTTTTCCATATAAATTTTAGAAGCACTTTGTTAATTTCTACAAACACACATACACACACAAAAGCTGGTATGGATTTTGATGGGAATTGTGCTCATTCACATCAACAGCCTTTTGGGTGCCTTCTATTCACCCTTAGTAAGGAAAAGAGAAGAGCAAGAACAGGAACAACCAGTCTTTAAGGTGGACACATAGGTTAGGTCACGCTGTCCCATGATACAATCCAAGAAAAGAAGCTTTTTCTTCAGCCACTTGACATTTACATGTATATTTGCAAAGGCCAATGTGTACTAGCCACTGACATTTTAAAAAACCCTAATTTTACTATTGCCAAAGTACAATCTCTATCAATTTTACAAAGCCACATTACTGGAATGAGACCTCAGTTCTCAAAGTCAGATAGGAAATCATACAGGTTGAGCACTATACCTGTTGACACCAGGGTGTGGTTCCTTCCACAGGCAGCTAATTTCACTTTTTCAGGTTTTAGAGCTAAAAAGATTTTAAAAATGGGACAATTATTTTATAGCAATGAAAATGAACAATATTCCAGGACAAATGGTAACCAAGTGATGGAACTGAGATTTAACAGCAGGCTTGTCTGATTCCAAAGTCAATGTTCTTAACTAGCAAACCAGAGGTTTTCAGAACTGGTTATGTCATCATAACCAGTGGAGCTTTGAATACAATACAGATATCTTAGCCCCATCCCTAGAGAATCTGAGTCAATGGGTCTAAAGTAGAGGCTGACATCTATATATATATTTTTTAAGCTTCACAGGTAGGTGGGGTGTGGTGGCTCACACCTGTAATCCCAGCACTTTGGGAGTCCGAAATGGGTGCTTGAGCTCAGGAGTTCTAGACCAGCCTGGGCAACATGGTGAAACCCTGTCTCTACAAAAAATACAAAAATTACCTGAGAGTCGTGGTGCGTGCCTGCAGTTTCAGCTATTCAGGGAGGGGTTGCTGAGGAACCTAGGAGGTCGAGGCTGCAGTAAGCAGAGATCACGCCACTGCATTCCAGCCTGGGTGACAGAGCAAGACGCTGTCTCAAAAAATTAAAAAAAAAAAAAAAAAAAAACTCTACAGGTAATTAATATGTGCTGAGCCCCACTGTATTCTATTATGTTGCCTCCTCACCAACCTGATCCATCACCTAACCTGCCATCACCATTATCAAGCTCACCTTCTACCACATACCACATTCAATGAAAAACTGTATGACCAATATTCACAAGCATACATCTATGAATGAAAGTTGTTCATTCATTCGTCAACATATTCAAAAAACATTTAAAGAACATCTCCTAAGTGCTTCACATAGGGGCTGCAAAAAGATGACTAAGATAGAATCCCTGGTCTCAAGAATCCCATAGTCTAGAATCCCGTAACATAATCCTGTTAGCTTGTCTATTAGATAAGATATTTGAGAATAAGGGTCATGGTCTCTGTGAATATCCCCAAGTGTTCAGACTGTGCTCAATAAATACTTTTTGAACACATGCAATACTTTAAAAGTTCCATAAAAATTCCCAAAAACAATAAAAAAAAAAGCTAAAAAAAAAAAATTCCCCAAAACAGCATCAGTATAAGCTACACTGAAATTTTCAGCTGAAATCAAAATTTAGCCAGGAAGATAAAAAATACTGCTCTTACTACATCTCAAGGAATCTCCATCACCCTTTCAAGTTCAGCTGATATTCACAGGTTATACCCATACAGAGGTTTTGCATATGAGATCCTGAAAGCTTTGTAAGGGTATTATGTATCTAATAATTTCTGGAATGCTGCTGATTTCAAGTATTTTGTCCTGTTGTTCTTTTACTCTAGTACTAATCAATCCCAAGTCTCAATGTTCTGTTTACTTCATCTAGTCACTATATAAAGCAGGATAAGTATGTTTTATAGAAACAGCAACTAAATAGAAACATAATGTCCACAACTCTACTAAATGAGACAATCTCAAAATTCTATAATATGATGCTGTTTGTTCTCTGTACACACAATAATAGTAATATTTAAGCAGTTTTACAAACGAAAAAAAAAGGGGGCTGGGGGGATGTTCAAATACAATACTGTAAAATTATTACTTCCTTTGTGGGCTCTGGGTAAAATCAGTCAGATTTTTAGACCCTAACATATGAAAGCAGTTCCAAATATCATATAAAAGATAAGTTAAATGCTAATAATATTCAAGCAAATGTCAGAAAATAATGAACTAAAGGCTTTATTATGTGCGACATTAAAGAACTACACAGTCAACAGAAAAATACTTTATAGAGTTTGTTAAGTATTTAAAGTGAAAAGATGAAAAGATCCCAAACCTTTGACGCATGTTGGCTTGCTGACGGCTGACTTTGATCCTAATCCTAACTGACCCCAGTTGTTACTGCCAAACACGTAAAGTTTATTATTTCCTGGTGGGAGGGAGAAAGAAATAATCAATTGAGGCATTTTTCACATAATGTAAGATGAGGTCATCACAAAGCAATAAAAAGCTATACTTTAAAAATGTCATTGCTTTTCTGTGTTGAAACAAGTTACCTTGTTTATCTATGTATAAACAGATTCTATTAAGTAGAAAAGAGTTTCTAAAATTATATAATAACAGTTACTTTGTTTTGTTTTGTTTTGTTTTGTTTTGTTTGAGAGAGTCTCGCTCTGTCACCCAGACTGGAGTGCAGTGGCACGATCTTGGCTCACTGCAACTACCACCTCCGGGGTTCCAGCAACTCTCCTGCTTCAGCCTCCCAAGTATCTGTGACTATAGGCACACGCCACCACATCCAGCTAATTTTTTTGCCTGTGTGTGTGTGTGTGTGTGCGTATATATATATATATATATATATATATATATATATATATATATAATTGCATTTTAGGTTCTGGGGTACATGTAAAGAACATGCAGAATTGTTGCATAGGTACATACATGGCAATGTGGTTTGCTGCCTTCATCCCCATCACCTACATCTGGCATTTCTCCCCATGTTATCCTTCCCCAACTCCCTACACCCCACTGTCCCTCCCCAGTCCCCTAACACAGACCTCAGTGTGTGATGCTCCCCTCCCTGTGTCCCTGTGTTCTCATTACTCAATATTCGCCTATGAGTGAGAACATGCAGTGCTTGATTCTCTGTTCCTGTGTCAGTTTGGTGAGAATGATGGTTTCCAGGTTCATCCATGTCCCTACAAAGGACACGAACTCCACAGAATACTATGCAGCCATAATCTTTGTATTTTATTTTAGCAGAGACCAGGTTTCACCATATTGGTCAGGCTGGTCTCGAACTCCTGACCTCATGATCCGCCTTCCTCGGCTTCCCAGAGTGCTGGGATTACAGGCCAGTTTTTTAAAAAAATTATATTTAAATAGATTAATTCCAAGAAAGGTGTGTATATAGAAAATCACAGTTAAATATACTAAGGAAACTTAAAATTTAAAATACCTCTTAATGACTGATTTTGTGAAGAATTATCTGGCAAAGTTAAAAACAACACCCTTGATACATTTTCAATATGTTTAAAACACAGCGGCACAGTTGTAACATAATATTTAGAATTTTCTAAGTATTACTGTACTCATTCAGGATAGTTATACTAACCTGTAACAACAGCACTATGTTCATCTCCACATGAAAGATGTACAGCAACATCATTTTTAAACCAGAATTTACCAGGAGTATTTTCAGTAAATTTACTTTTCCCAAATACAAACACAGCACCCGAATCTGCAAATACAAGATGGTCTCTATTTTATAACTTTTAGTATGTTGCCTGTTAAAATACCTGTTCAGCAATTTATCCATACAAAACCCTTGTTTCATGTCAGCTTTGCCCCAACTCTGGCAATATTTAAGCCTTCCTTCTTCCACCTTAATTCAGTCTTTCTTATCCTCAGACTGCATTCTAGTTTGACCTATGAAATCTGCTAAATTGAACACGTATTACTTATATACATGCATAAAGAAAGAAATACACTATCACAGGAAGGCAGTCTTCTATTACTAATAGTTCTGCTGTCACCAAGTAGATGAGTATTACCTGGAATGAAATGGTATAATTTGTGCCGTTCTTGTTCTGGTTAACACCTCATGGTCTGGCCTCAGAGAGCTTTTCTCCAAACACAGAAACAGGACAGTATTGAATTTCCTCATTAGCATCATCAGGATATCCATGGGGAGGGTCTCTATCAGTCAATCTGGATTTTCTTTGGTCCAGTTTTTCTAAGGAACCTCCAGTGTTCTCATGCAAGGGAAACAATGTTAGCCCAAATGGTGAACTCTTTCTATTTTTGTTGAGACAGGGTCTCACTCTGTCACCCAGGTTGAGGTGCAGTGGCTAACTGCAGCCCCCACCTACTGGCCCCAAGCAATCCTCCCACCTCAGCCTCCTGAGTAGCTGGGACTTATAGGTATGTGCCACCACATCCAGCTAAATTTTGTATTTTTTGCACAGATGGGGTTTTCCATGTTGCCCAGGCTGGCCTCAAACTCCTGGGCTCAAGCAATACACCTGCTTCAGTCTCCCAAAGTGCTGGGATTACAGGCGTAAGCCAAGACACCTGGCCAAAATGGTGAACTCCTAATTTCTCTATTGGTAATCCCAATGAATACCCATAAAATCAGAGACAGCACAGAGAGAAACAAATTACTCCACCACTATCTCTTTCATTTGAAATAAGGGAAAGCAGCTAGAAAAAAAAAAAAGGCTTTAAAGGCAATTAGGTATTCAAAGGTTGTTGTAAGGATTAAATAAGATGACATGTACAAAGAACTTAGCCCAGAGCCTAGCATCCTCAAAGTGTAAGCTCATAGCTGCCTCTGTAAACTCTTCCTCTATCATAAGAGTTGGAAATGATCACTGGCTTCTCTGAACTATGAACTGCAGAATTTATAACACAGCAGCACATCTGTGTAACAGTTTGATTAGAGAGATTGTTAGGTAGCATAATATGTAAGATGAAGTCATCACAAAGCAATAAAAAGCTATACTTTATGAGGTGGGTGGATCATTGGAGGTCAGGAGCTTGAGACCAGCCTGGCCAACATGGTGAAACCCCATCTCTACTAAAAATACAAAAGTTAGCCAACTGTGGTGGTGAGCACCTGTAATCCCAGCTACTCAGGAGGCTGAGGCAGGAGAGTCGCATGAATCCGGGAGGTGGAGGTTGCAGTGAGCCAAGATCCGGCCGTTGCACTCTAGCGTGTGCGACAGATTTGAGACTCTGTCTCAAAAAAACAAAAAACAAAAAAAACTCGCTGCTTTTCTGTACTGAAACACAGAAAGAGTTCACCATTTGGGGTGACAATGTTATCCCATATTGCCTAGCACAAAACAGTCCTTCTGTGTTCTACTTTTCACACAGAAAAGGACCCCCTTACACACATGTATGTTCATAACTGCTGAATGTTATGTTTATTGATTCATCATAATGGTGGGTAGGTAGGTAGTCAAATACAACTTTCAACATGTTTAATATAAAAGACAGATTACCCAAGTCGTCAACAAAGGAGTACTTCAGCTTTTCCTGATTTCTGAGGAGAATTCAGAATGTTTAGGGATCCAGAATAAAATTAAAAGATCCTCTCAATACAGCCACTCAGGAAGTTTCTAATTCTCATCTTACTCATGCACTACAGTTAGTTATAGAGATGTCTTTTTCTCTTTCCAGAAACACTACCTAAGACAGGATGGTTTATCTTGCCCTGCAAAACAATATCACAAAATGCCATGGTCCTAGGAGACCGAAGAGGAGTACTCGTGGATGTTGAGATTTAACAGTCTTACCTCAAGTCATTACTTGATCTGAGTAGTAGTCACAAACTGTGGTGGTACAGCATCATTTTGAAGAGAGACTAAAAACCCCTATCAGTTCCCAATAACCATTTAAACACACACATACACCAAATAGTAAGTCAGATCCAGCTTTTGCGAAAATCCCAAGGAGGATGATCACATATAAAGTAATTCGTACCAGAAACGAAAACATAGCAAATGTAAGTATTAACAATAAATATTAATATGCAAGAGACTAGCCACTGTGGACAACGTTTTGAGAACCACTGTGAGGCATGTCACTTCCAACTAATAACTGAGTTGGGAGACCAGGATCTAGAAGAGAATCTGGGTTTCCCCAGAATGAATTATTTTAACATTTTAACTGTTTTGTCCTTGCTTCGCTAATACCCTCACCCCAAGTCAAGTTTTGGTGGCTCTGCTCTGGCGCTGTGACATCTACTGTCAATTTGCATGGTCATTTTGTTTACTTTCCTGTATGTCGCACTAAATTGTGAACTGCAGAATTGAGAACTTCCAGGACCATGGAAGAAAATATACATATTTCAGTAAAGGTATGATTCTGCTCAAACCCAGCGTTTTTTCAAAATGTTGGTCATGACCTATTAGTGGGTAAGAAAAATCAATTCGCCGGGCGCGGTGGCTCAAGCCTGTAATCCCAGCACTTTGGGAGGCTGAGGCGGGTGGATCACGACGTCAAGAGATCGAGACCATCCCGGTCAACATGGTGAAACCGCGTCTCTACTAAAAATACAAAAAATTAGCTGGGCATGGTGGCACGTGCTGTAATCCCAGCTACTCAGGAGGCTGAGGCAGGAGAATTGCCTGAACCCAGGAGGCGGAGGCTGCGGTGAGCCAAGATCGTGCCATTGCACTCCAGCCTGGGTAACAAGATCGAAACTCTGTCTCAAAAAAAAAAAAAAAAAAAAGAAAAAGAAAAATCAATTTAGAGGTTCATGATCAGCATTTTTAAAGAAATGCGTTATCGAAAAGCTGTGTGTTGACTCCAAGTGCTTAAAACAAGGCCTGCTTCACGAGACATCTAATTCTGCTACACAGTATGTATGCGGTATTGGGTCACAATGACAAAAGTATTTCTAACTATGGAGCTCAGGGGGAAAAAAGGCTAAGAAACACTCACTAATAGGGTCCCTATTCTCCCTCTTTGTCCAATTCATTTCCAGCATCCCTTTTGCCCCACAACGCTGATCAATCACTCTTTAGCGCATTCAATACATAACTAGGTGCTCAGGATCTCCAAAGTGCACATATCGGGAGTCCGCACTTTAGGGAGTTTACAGGGAGGTAAAAAGTGTCCCGGCCTTCAAGAAGCTCATCAAAAGATTATTTTAAAAGCAGAAGAAAGACAGGCACCTCCTTTCCTGTTGTCCCCCATCCTGTTCATCCTGTTCATCCATCCAGTCCTCTGACCTCAGTCATTCGTGGGAGCGCAACCAGAGCTCCCGCCCCAGTCGGGCCACCCAGCCTCGGGCCTGTCCCGACCGGGCTGGTCCAGAGGAGGAGCCTGGCCACCTGCCTGCCCACGGACCCTCCCTCCCGGCCTTCCGCCATCGGCGCAGGCGCCACTCACCGGGCATCAGCTCCTCAGACTGCCTCATGCCAAGGCGGCGCACCCATCCTCTCGAGGGCCGCCTGACCCGGACTAAGGCCGCCAGTTTGCCGAGACGCGGGCCGCAGAAGCGGCCCTATTCCTCAGGCAGAAACTCCGGACTTCCGCGCTCCCGGAAGTCAACAAACAGCCGCTAGGGGCAACGGGGGCGGAGCTTTGGAACTCAAGTGGGGGCAGGCGCCGCGGGGGAGGGGAACGGAAGCCGGGCGGCTAGTAATGGGCAGGCTCAGGAACACCGGCCGGGTCGGTAGAGACCACGCGCCCTCTGGCGGCCTGGAGCAGAGAGGCGGCCACACCGTTCAGTGATTCCCTGGAGTCCGCGCCTTTGGGCCGCTGGAGGTCCAGGCTCCGAAGGGACCCTGCCCATGAGAGGCAAACGTCACAAATTTCATACTCTGTGATATAAGCAAACATCGACGCACAATTATGATACTACTTGTAATAATGACCAGCTGGAACATTAAAGCAGCTGGGCACTCTGTTAAACAAATTCCCAGCATCTAAACCAAGGTCTGGCCTATACTGAATGCTCATTACATATTTATTGAATAAATGAGTACTATTACAACCCTGCAAGGTGATTAATGTCACCCCTGTTTAAGGATGTGGAGATTATACAATAAGAGAGCTGGAGTCTAGTGCAGCTAGTCCAGCCTGTAGTCCACAGAAAGTAAAAGCTGAGCTGTATATATATGGTCCACTACTCACAGAACATGCACAAAGGGGTTCACAAATAGCCCAACATCATTGTTCTAGAATTTGCTCGGTGATGTTATATGATGCAAGATTTCCCGTGCATCAACATTTGGCTATCATGAATTAAAGAAGCTAAAAGCCATCTTCCAGGATGAGCAGATTTATGTGCATTTGGTAGTTGTAGACATGGACTCTAGAATCAGACACAGCTGCATTAAGTGATCCCTGAATTACTCATGTGTGTTACCAACTCTTTCTCAGGAACTTTGCATTAAAATGGAGAGGAGATCTTAAACTATCAGTTACACAAAGAATAATTTATTTACAAAGCAAAGTGGAGGTTACTAAGGAAGTGTTTAACAAGGAGCATTGACCTGGTGTGGGGGGGTTTATCTGAAGAAAGAACATTAAATTTAAGAACTGGAGAAAGAGAAGCCAGGAGTGGGAGAGAGTTCTGGGCAGAGAGTAAATTGTGTAAAGGTTCATAAGAGCTTGACTCTTTCCAGGAACACCTAGAGGCGAGGCTGGTTCCTGGCAAGGTGGCAAGGTCTTGGGCCTATTACGGATCTGAGCTTTTCTCCTAAAGACAATGTGAAATCACTGAGAAGTTTTAAGCAGTAACACAACAGGACAGGATCAGTTACGTCTGTCCCCTGAAATCATTCTGCCTTGTCTGGATGCTTTGCAGAGAATAAACTGGAGCAGTGAGAAGGGTTCAGAGGCTATTGCAGAACTTCAGACAGGTGGTCAGGCTGGCTCGGAGTACAGTTCATTGGTGCCAGAGAGAAGCAGGCAGATTTGAAAATATTTTATGTGGTAGAATCAACAGGAAATAGTTTCTGACTATAGACTTCTAGATAGTGCTGGACTACCAAATAGCTCTTAGAGCAACAGCAAAGATGTGGTCCTAAATTATTTTGAAAAGGATTTGATATTCATTTTTAGAGCATCATAATTATTACTATGGGAAAATGAGAATTTTTAAAGATTTACTTTATGATATGCAGTCTTTTTTAAATTTCAAAATACAGTAAGGCACATTTTGGTGCTAAGCATCCCAAAAGATATTGATGCAGCCATACTCCAAGGTTTCCAACATAAGCAAATAGCAGGAGGGGGTCACCATTTACTGAGATGGAGAACACTGAGGAAGGTGCAGGAGACATTGGAGTTAGGCAAATGGGGCAAAGAGAGCAGAATGAGTTCATCCCTGAGCACGCGAAGACATCAAATTGGAGGTGCCGAGCTGAGCAGGCAATTGGTGACCGGATGCCCCAGAAGAAGGCACATATTTGAGGAATGCTTGGGTTTATATAGTGAAAGTGGGCTTGAGATACAACACTGGAAAGTGACTGCAGAATTGAGGCAGGAGAATAGGGTCTGGAGTCAGGAACCTAAGGCCAATTCATGCTGACTTCCTAGAACTTAATCGAAAGGAAAACCCCAACTTTCCAAATCTAAGTAACAAAATAAACAGAGGCTACTCCCTTTGCAAACCTCACCCCCTTTTTCTGCATGGCAGATGGAAAGTTGAAAGTATCCCTGATTGGTTGCTTTCTGCAACCAATCAGACATTTGCATAGGAGTGTAACTTTGTGACTTCACTTCAGCCTCTGATTGGTTGCTTTCCACAACCAATCAGATGCTTGAATAGGGTGTAGCCTTCGTCACTTTAGCCTCTGAATAGTTGCTTTTTGCAACCAATCAGACTAATTGCAGGCTGCTACTTCATTTATATAGTAACCAATGGGAAATGTACCAATGGTTACTTGCAATGGCACCAAGTAACCAATAGGAAACCTCTAGAGGGTAATAAAACCCCAGAAAATTCTATAAAGGGGCTCCTGAGCCCCTGTGCTCACGCCTGCTCCCACCCTGTACTTTCATTTTCAATAAAGCTCTGCTTTTGTTGCTTCATTCTTTTCTTGCTTTGTTTGTGTGTTTTGTCCAATTCTTTGTTCAAAACACCAAGAACCTGGACACCCTCCACCAGTAACAGAATGAGAAGACAAAAGAGGTCAGGATGGGTGGTGAAGAATGCAGAATTTAATGGCCCAGCAAAAGAATCTGAAAAGGAGATAGTGACCAGAGACGGAGAGCCTATGGAACAGCGTTTCAACAAGGAGGGTGTAATTGGATCACAGAATGTGGAGAAATTCAATAAGGTGAAAACTAAATGCCTACTGAATTTAGCAATGCAGCCATCATTATCAGTGTTGAAAAGGGATGTCTGATGGAGTGATAGAAGAAATGATACTGGAGTGGTTACAGAGTGGGAGAAACTGAGGTATAGATGTGAGGGCAAAACCTTTAGAGATGGGGGTAGACATAGAATAAGAGGGACAGGGAGACAGTATTTGGCTGGAGAGGTGAGGCGGATGGTGGACTTTGTCAGGCTTGGAGAGACTTGAGAATGCTGAAGGGCTCAACAACAGACAGGGAGAGAATGCAGATCCAGGAGAGTGAGGGAATAATGGATAAGGTAAGGTAGTATTGGCACCAGAAGATTTGGTGTTTCCTTCTCATACACTTGAATCAGATGGAATAATAACATTGGTAATACCATAACAACTAGAAAATATTAAGCACATACTATAATCCAGGCATTGTACTAATTAATGTAATGTATGGTAGCAGAATAATGGCTCCTTAAAGATGCCCATACTGTCATCTCCAGCATCTGTGAATCTATTTACGTGGCAAAACGGACTTTGCAGTTGTGAGATGCGGGTTCAGGATCTTGAGATGCAGAAGTTATTCTAGATTAACCAGGTAGGCCCAATTAAATCCTATGAAATCTTAAAAGTGAAGAGCCTTTCCAGGCCGTGGTCAGAGAAAGATGTGAAGATGCAGGAGTGGTCAGAGAGATAGAACAGTGTGGCTGTGAAGATAAAGGTAAGAGCCATGAGCCGAGGGATGCAGGCAGCCTCTGAAAGCCAGGAAAAGCAGGGAAGTGGATACTCATAGGAGGACAAATGGTATAGTGAACTGCGTAAGTGACGGATCTAGGTTGCCCATTCCTTATGAGACTCTAATGCCTGATGATCTGAGGTGGAACAGCTTCATCACGCCACCATCCCCATCCTCCAATGTCCCCCATCGTCTGGTGCATGGAAAAATTGTCTTCCACGAAACTGGTCCCTGGTGCCAAAAAGGTTGGGGACTGCTGCCCTAAGGGCATGCACCTCAATTTATAAAACAGGCTTGGGAGAGCTTGGTTTTGACTTTAGGCTTTATCACTTACTACTTTAGTAATCTGGGCAAGATGCTTACTCTTCTCTGATTCTTCATCTGGTAAATCAGGATGATACCTCCTAATTTGCAGGATTGTTGTGTGGTTTAAATGACATGATGTGTACAAAACCTGTAGTGCCTGGTTTTCAGCAAGCTCTTTACTTATTACTTTCTCGCCGAGTTTTAATTACTATTATTTGTGTTTCATGGTCTTTGTTTTTAAAAGTTTCATTACTTTCTACTGACTCCTATAATTAAGCTGCAGGCAGCCCTGCAGTTAGACGTGGTGCATCTAGATGGAGCCAGATTAATAGCTTTTTCATGCTGCATTTTGGCAAATATGGCGCAGCTGTGTCTCTGACAGAAATGAAAATTGAGGAGGAGACATCTGGAAGAACCTATGTGCATTTTACTTTGTGCAAGGCACTATAGGAATTGGGAGGGAGGGAGAAACGGAGGACTCACTGACTGTCAGACACTTAAAAATGAATGGCCCAACTGTTCAGCAATTGTATATCTGTGAACAGAAGCTCTCTTTTACATCAGCTGTTAGTCACTGCCCTTTGTGATTGGAAATCAGGCTTGAAAATTCTGACTGTATTTTGAGCCATTTTTATCTGTGCCTTTCTGTGGGCGACTTTTTCCTAACAGAGTCCCTTGAAAACATTCAGTCTCATTTAGCACCATTCACTAAAAATTTCACCTTTGATCCCAAGTCGGAATGTTTTTTCCTTCTTTAACCCTCTTTTAGAGTGCTAAGTCTGCTGGGTTTGTTTGGCACAAAGCCAACCAGAAAAGGAATGTCCTTGAAGGCATATCAGTCAGGTTTCCAACTAACAGATGACCCCCTCTTGTTATGATAATTTGAGAAGGATTGATTTTTAAAGGAACTAATTTTGAAGGGTGGAAGAGGGTTGGGGCAACCACGAGGCATAGTGCAAAGATTCAGGGATAACGGCATTGGAGTTGTTACTATTTCTTGGCCCATAGAGAGAAAGGAATGGAAAGTTTATTAGAACTTGGAAGGAAAGAGAATTGTGTAGAGCCGTACACCTTTAGAGAAACAGTGAATTTCTATTAAGGAGCAAGCCAATCCAAGATGTCCTTATAGAAAGGGGAGAATAAATATTCTGATTACTCTACTCCTTCCCTCCATTCTTCTGCTGGGATTTTATTGGCCAAACCCAA